AAGGACATCTTTTAGTTTAGAAAGGGGAATGCTATTGAAAAGATCCTGGAAATCAAAAGTCGCAATAGAATTAATTTTATTATGTTTAATGAAATCTAAAATCGGTTGATTATTAGTGATAATCCAAGAGAAACCTTCTTTAGAAATATTGTTAATAATTTTATTTAAGTAGTTAGAGAAAATGGCGCCAGGTTTAGTTAGATAAGTATTAGACCCACATGTGATAGTTCTAAATTTTACAGGAATTTTATGAAATTTAGGACTGATAATTAAGTAAAGAATTTGTATATTGCTAATTTTAATTTTCAATCTCTTATATAAAGCTAAAATTTTTTAATGACAATATTATTATTGAAATTACTGAGTTTAAGACTTTTACTATTTTTTAATTCTGTATTTGAAATTTCAGCATAGAATTTCTTACAGAAGATTGCATAATTATTGTTCTATGAGAGTAATTACGAAATATTTTTGAAGTTGCTTAATTGATTGAATAATATTAGAAAAATTTGCTGGATTGTTACTCTTATTTAAATTATCCTTATTATTGAAAACAAAGTTTTTAAAGTAATAATAAACACCCCATTTCCATTCTGTTAGCATACCTAAAGGTAAAGAGAATCTATTTGATATCTTTAAAGAAAAACTATTGAGATCATTAAGAAAGTATTTTAGAATTTTATTGATTGATATATGGTAAATGGGTCTAAATTTTGTTTCTTTTATCATTTAATTCCTAAGTTCTAAGTTTTCTATAATATTTAAATTACTAGTAATAATATGTTTATGATGTTTATCAACAAAATCAAAATATTTCTCTTCCTCACAGTGACATTCATAATCAGATATATTAATACTCCCTAAATGTTTGCTTATATCATTATAATTAAATATAGTTCTACCAAGAGATTTATTTTATTTAAAGCTTTTAATTTTGCTAAATTCTTTTAATGGAAATAAGGCTTTAAAATTTTCATAAATATTATGAAATTTGATCTTATCGAAAATAAGATTTTGAAAGTTAATAACGAAATATAAATTATCTAAATTTTTCTTTTCATTTGGCGAAATTTTACTCATTTTGGCTTTTATAAGATCGAAACAAAGAATTTTGAAATTTAAATTAATAAAAGAAAAGTTAATAATAAGATAGTAGAATTTATATACATCATAATTCTTAAGGGAGAAGACAAAATCTTTAGTTGGTTTAGTGTTATAATGTTTATTAAAATCTTTTTCCATATTAGAAAGAAAAGTTATATTTAATTTGTCACTATTAATAGAGTTTCTATTACTTCTTAAACCCCGTTTACCTCGATTTGTACGCTTATCTTTAATATGAAAAAGTGATTAAGTTGAGGAGTTATTAAAGTTAATCTGTGTATGTTGGAAGATATCGTTTAACCCATACGGCAAAATTGTTTTGTATAAAAGCATATAGTAATTTTCGTTTTGTAGTCTTAAATCTAAATCTTCTACAATTTCTAAAATATAAATTTTGACACTGTTAAATTTATGTTCTCTAAAATGATTGAATTCCAGGTTATTGATAGTCTTATTTGTTTATATCAGAACGGTGTTGATTAATTCGAACGTTAAGTGAGTTACTGGTTTGTCCAACATATTTCATATTACAGAGACCACAGGTTAACCTATAAATAACATTTTTAATTTCACAGAAAGATTTGGAGCTATCGTTATAAAGAAATGTATGTTTTTTGTCAATATTAGGGCAAGTTTTGCATCTTTTATCACCACACGCTTCATAGGATGGTAAGGTATCGGGAGTAGAATAGAATTCGAAAAATCTTTTTCTTTGCTTTTGCTTTCAGAGTAGCAGGATGTCGATCCGAAGTTCCCCTCTGATTTAGGCTCTCCGTTCCGGGTACAACATGAAGAATAATTTAATTATTGAATACATTCTTTACCAGACGCTAAATTGTCATAATTGTTTAATTCCATAAANCTACCGCTCGCCAACCCCCGATAATTGCTACGCAATTACATTTTTGTTTGCTTCGCGAACAAAATTAGAGTCGTCATCCTGGAAATTAGCTGCACCAACATCACATAGAGAGAATATGATAGGATTGTAAAATGTCAGAGGTGCTTATTATCAGCATTATTAACTTATATAAAGCAATTTTTTACAAACAATATTATAAACCTATATAAAGAGAGGAAGCAATATTATTTAACACATTACTATAGGGTATTAGCCGGAGATTAATCTCCGTATCCGAAGCACGCGTGTCAGAGCCTAACTCAAATCATTGATGATCTTATAGGATGCCGGAAGCTCCCTATATGGTGACATCTAAGACATTTCTAAGAAAGATATTTCTATCTAAGACATTTATCTGAAATTCTACTCGACAATGCTGAATCACTATCCTGGATATAAATTTGAGCAAATTTGTGTTTTTGATTATTAGGAGGGATCAAGCTTGTTGTTGCAGTAACATTGACATCACCTTTAAAAGTAAGATAACTGATCCCTTTAAAAGAGATTTCATGAGATGGGCAAAAAGCTGCCATCGCAAATGCAGAGTAGTACGATCGAACATTCTGTTTAAAGTTAATTGCATCAGAATGGCTCCCAAGCAAAAGATCTTTTAATACTTCTGGATATTCCAGATTGGCGAGCTCAACTTTGCCATGATGGCAGCAATTAAATTTCGTCCTGCCTTACTCTGCTGGAAACGAAAGAGCACCACAGTTTACACATTCATCACTGAATGTTCCACCGGAAAAAGGGGGTATGATGTCTGATAAAGACTCACCAAGGTATTCGTTTTCATTTAAACGTCTTGACTCTTCAACGTTTCTTCGCCGCGCATTCCGCCGTCGCGTGTTGATAGCACTACGATTATTTCCCAGCTGCTAAATTATGTTCAGCTCTATGTCGCTGTTGATATCGCTCAAGATATTCACGGCGATCCATTTTTTATAAAAGATATAAGTTTTTTATAATAAACACTATTCTATATATTTTGATAATTTGGGATGTAAATAGTTTCTTTAGAGAGTGTTGATTCGTTATTCCAATGACACTACCAGATTTATCAAAGCTATTAAAATATATTGGAGTTCTGAAATAAATAACTGCTTTCCATCAAAACAAACATTCTATTATAAAACTTTAGAACAACTATCTTTTTACATTGCCACTCAAAATTATTAATAAACACTGGATAATATTGCGTTAATGACACTTTTATCTAATGACGTCATAAACAATCGTTTGCATGAAGTTTAGTTCGTAATAATCATATATAATCGCTTGCATAAATAATCGTTCGGTCTTTTTATAGCTTTACGTAACAAGTGTGAGATTTTTTTTTTCTTTTTCGGAATGGCGATGTTATAATTTTGTTGTTGAGCTAATAAATCTTCCTTTTTATAAGCGTAATAGTAGAGTTTTCTTAATTATTTGATTCGAAGTCCTCTGAGTTTTATTTGAGGTCAGTTTGCATTTTGTATTTTTTGACAGCATTATTAAAAATTATTACCTTTTCACACACATGCGTTTTCAATTTTGATTGGCTGTTTTGTGAGTTACTAACCAGAAGTCTTCTGTGATTGGCTATGTGTTATCATTCCACTCTCTTCTTATATATATATATATATAAGAATACCTAATAAGAATTATTCTACCTGAATTGCTTTCTTGTGCATAAAACTGAGTTTGTTATGAATTTTATTATAAAGTTTTATTAAGTTAATTATAATAGTTATTTCTAAAATTAATTATAAAGGGCCAGATTTATGGGGAAGTAAATGCAGCTCGTGCGCAATGTCGATCACTTTGCCGCAATCAAGTCATTGGTTACGAAATTGCGGAGTCTTTATTTCCATGACCCCCGTGGTCTACAATTTAGTATTGCTTTGTTGAATGTTTTTTACTTTCTTTTATAATTTATTCATAAGCATGATATTTTATTCAAAACTCTTTTACGAGAAAAGAAAATATATTGTGAAAAAAATTCCGATGATAATTTCAGTTTTTCCTATTTAAAGAGTTCTGATATTTTAAAATTGATGAGAATACATGGAAAAAGGATTTTTACATAAAATTTGACGGATATAACTTTTTTAAATATCAATGCAACTTTTTGCAAACATAGAAGGAGTTTTTAAAAATGAATTTTTGTATGGCTCAAATTTTAAAAACAAATATTTCGATTTGTAAATGGTGCATTTTATTTTGGACTGAGATGCCTTTATTTAATTACGTAATTCTGCTACTGAATTGTACAGTGTTTTTTAATGCAGCTGAATAAAGGTATACAATACTGCACTCCAATAATAGCTCAATATCCTACAATGTCTGCAAAATATTTTTTATTTTTAATAAAAATTTATCCGAAAATATTTTATCTCTCCAGTCATGTTTTATGAATAACGTTGATAGTTTTATGGTGTCTGTGTTTATGTACTCCATCGTGAAAATATCCTCTACAGCCTTTATGAAATATGGATATTTTTTGCTATGCTGTACGATGATAACTATTTCTTATTCTTAAAAAAATATTGTTCCGTATCTTGCAATTTTTCGATATCAATCGATACTATGTACTTTTTGGGAACGGTAGTTTTATTGATTCTTTAGGAAGCTCTAAATTAAAATTTTCTTTTTTATGCTGAACAATAATAATCATTAACTCTCTGAAGAGCGTCTTTGTTAATAAATATTGAGTCATTTTTATGGATGCGAATTTTCGATATCAATCGATACTTACTTCTTGGGAATCGTAGTTTTATTGATTCTTTAGGGAGCTCTAAATTCAAATTTTCTTTTTTATGCTGAACAGTAATAATCATTAATTCTCTGAAGAGTGTCCTTGTTAATAAATGTTGTGTCATTTTTATGGAATTGCATTCAATTTGAATTTTCGATGTCGTCTAAAATTATAAAAATCTAAATAAAGCAAATGATTTAAAATTATGATATAACTTTCCTCATAACTTACGTACTCTCAACCATTTTAGGTTTCCTTTGATAAGACATTGTTCTTTGGTTGAAGATTTTGATTGTTGTCTATTGTTTGAACAATTTGTTTTTTGCAACGGAGGCAATCCCAAAATCTCCTTTTGCCTTTTCTGAAACGACCCAGAAATTATCAATGAAATTCAATTACACCGACTGGTTTCTGACCTCATTTTTTCTACACGCATTTAAGAAAAATTATTTTAAATGGGTTCAACTGAAATTTTCAAGAATTATTAAAACAATTATTAAATGAGCAACATAGTTAACCAAAATCTCTATTGATATTAAGAGAGAGAAAGATTTGAAATATACACAGTGCATTTATTTTTTAAAAAAAAAAGGTTGAAATGATGTACACAAACAGCAATGAAATTGAGATCCTATCCATAAATAAATTCCCATCTTCAGAAAGACAGACGACTTACAAAGCCAAATAAATTAAATAAATAAAACATGAATAAATTAAATAAATAAAACATGATTGTATATGGCACAATAAAAAAAATATCCATAAATAGTGTCCCACTAAAGGAAACAATAAATACAATAAAGCAGGCAGTAATACAATGAGACAGGCAGTTAAAGAATCTTTGGCAGTTATCTTCGTCGAAAGAAATCACGATTGAGACGTAAAAGGAGGGGTGGTTGAGGTTGACATTCTCTTGGTTCACATTTCATCATTCCACCCGATTCACAACGACAAAGCATACATGGACCACTAGCTGGTCGGACAACTTGTTGCACTCTGTAAACATGTCCTTCAATTTCACAGCCTGAAAATATAGATTCACTTCATTATATTGCCACTCATTTGTAACAATTTTAAAGTTCATTTAAATAATTTTACTTTTCTTTTGACCAAAGGGGTCATTTTAAGAACTAGCTTTAAATTCAAGAGCAGAAGAGTGCCTTAAAAAATTTTTTATCTCAAAATTTTATTTTCAATCAAAAATTATTTTCGCATATTCTTTCAATATTTAACTTTTTAATTGATTAAAAAATTCATTCGCTTCAAAAATCTACAGATTGGAAATAAAAGTCGACATGTTTCAAGCGCTCAAAAACAGACGCCCATTTTTGAAACTTGCGAAATGTGAATGAATAATAAAAAAAAAAAAGTGATTTGAAATATAAAACGTAAAGTTCCCAACAAAAAATGAAAAACGCCCATAGACGCCCATTTTTGAAACTTGCCAAATGTGAATGAATTAAAAAAAATAAAAGTGATTTGCAATATAAAACGTAAAGTTCCCAACAAAATATGAAAAATAAAGATGAGAAGCAAAACTAGAAAAACCACAGTAGTCGAGAAAGAATAAAAATAAATATGAAAAAACAGAAAAGGAAAAAACCACTGTTGCTGAGAGAGGCAAATCAGAGTAAAATGTATTTGCACGAGCGAATGTTAAGGAACTAATGTTAACAAGGAAATCAGCATTTATATGAATAAAGCAAAATTCCAGGGTATCAAGATGAGCCGATTTTTCACCCCAGTCACATAAGCTCATCTTGATACCCTGGAATCTTGTTTTATTTATATGAATGTTGATTCCCTCGTTAACGACATTAGTTCCTCAGCCCCTTACCATCCAATTTCCTTGAGATCATTTATTTAACTAACTTTTTAATTTGTTATAAAATAAATTTTTTAAAATACTTTATACAAGATGATGTAAAGTGGTATTAATGTTTATTTTATCATGGATAAGAAATATAGGATTTTGTTCAGATCGATGTTAAATAAAAATTAGTTAATTTGCTAATTATGTATAATTTTTAATTAGTTATAAACAAAGATCAATTTTGGGCATTAGCACGGTCATATTTGGGAATTCCTTCCTATGACATGTACATATTTTCCCATAAATCACAAACTATTTCAGTTTATTTCTTGAGCTGAATTAAATTTAAATATAGAGTTAAAAATCATTCAAGATAAAAAATTTCTTGTTTGTTCAATTCTAAAGTTCATTTAAAGTGAAAATAATTATTTAAGAGTAATTTCTTTTCCTTTGATTAAAGGTCATTTTAAAAACGAGGTTTTAATTCTAGAGCAAAAGAGTGCCTTATAAAATTTCTTTAATCAATTTCTTTTCTCACAAAAGTTTGATGCATTTATCAGAAAATATTTTCATATATCATTTTAATAAATAACCATTCAATTTATAATAAAATAAAATATTTAAAAATACTATAAACAAGATGATGTAAAGTGGCATTAATATTAATTTAAGCATGAATGAAAAATATTGCGTTTTAGATGGATGTTAGCTGAGAATTAGTTAATTCACTAAATATGTATAATTTTAAATTCTTTTTTAGAGCAAATTTTAAAAAAAATGTTCCAGCTACACTCCTCGTAATTAAAGTTTCAAAGTAATCATAGTATTATTTATCTGATTATGCTCAGAAATTACTGGAATGTAATACATTGTAAAGACAGTGGTGTAATATCTGTCAAAATTCTAAGTAAAATAATCCAAAAATTGTGTCAATGAACACATATGCTCTGTGAAAAATGATTGTGTATCTGAACACTTAAAATGATGGCAACTACTTTACACCTATGACAACTACCCTGCAAAAATAGTAGTTACAACCACTTTTGGAACTGAGATAAACTAATTTTTTTTACAGTGCATCACATTTCTTATTTATGTTTTTGCTATTATAGTTTTATTTTTTAAAAAATGATTAATTCATTTTTTGTACTTTTGTTTATTGACAACACATATTTTTACGCCCATTCGAGTGAATTTAATAGCTTCATTGTAAAGTCATTTTAAAAAGAAAACAAATTTTTATCCATATATTCACACTAATTCTTGCAAATATTTGTTATTTTGCCAATTTCATGAGCGAAAACTACAGTTCGGTACTTAAAAATGTATTTATCATTAAAATATAAACTGTTACAAAAATATTTTTATAAACCGATCTATAGCTATCACAAAAAAAAAATTATACGAAATTGATAAAATAACAATTGTTTGAAAGAATTAGTGCAAATATATCATTAAAAATGTGCTTATCTTTTAACGAAATGCTTCTGAAATTAAGTTATTAAATTGATTCTAATGAGCATGAAAATATGTGCTGTCCGTAAAAAAACACACAAAAAATGAATAAATAATGAAGAAAAACTGCAACAGGGAAAAAATAAATTTAAATACTGCGATAATGTGGACTGTAAAAAATTTTAGTCCATCTGAAGGCCATTAACGTTGTCAAGTGAAAAAAAAAACGTGATAATGTGCACTGTAAAAACTTTTAGTCCCTCTGAACATCATGAACTTTGGCAAATGAAAAAAAATGTGATAATGTGCACCGTAAAAAATTTTAGTCCATCTCAACACCATAAACGTTGGCAATTACTTTTTACCCAGCATAACTAAACGTTACACTACACAAAGACCACGGACAGTTTCTAGTGTAGTGCAGTACATCTTTATAGGTGAAATGCTTCTTCATACTGCTGAAATAGAATTTTTTTTTTTCACTACTTGGTGTAAAGTAGCCACCATCTTGGTTGTTGTTTAATGACACTAAGATTTATAAAATATATGATATACAAAAAAATCAGTAAAGAGTGTTTCACGATTCATAAATTTAAGATGAATCTATAAAATATGTCTTAAAATAAAATAGTTTGTTCAAATAAACATATACACATCATAGAGAGAATACTAATATGAATTTGAACTTTATTTAAAAAATGAAAGCGGATATATATTAACCTTTACATAATTATTTAATACAGTTCATGGACATTTGGATATTAAAATATAATTGTCCAAATGACACAACTAAAAACATTCATGTATATTTTAAAGGCAAGCTTTTGTCTCACTAGATATTGTATAGTGACGTGGAAGGAATCAACTTTACTTCGTCAACTCTTACTTGCGATACTCGTGAAACTGGGAAAGCTAATATGCGTCAACGTTGGTGTTTTCGGGAGCGAAAACAATTCAATAATATTTTTCTTGGAGTAAGCTTTCTCATTTGTTGGTGTTTAAATTTAACAGCACTCTTTAAAGGGTGCATGAATGTTCGATTTGGTATTAACTTGAAATAACATACTCATTTTAGAGTTTTTCAACCCCAAATTCGAATAGTTATTACACCACAGTTTTTAAAGTATATATTTTGAAGGGTATAGTTAAATCTCTAGACCAGTGATTCTCAACCCCTGTGCCGCGGCACTTTTGGGTGCCGCCAAATTCTTAAAATGTGCCTCCAAATATTAGAAATGATACAGTAAAAATTATAATGCTTTTTTTATTACAAGTAAAGTTTAAACTAAAGAAAAGTGTTTAGATATATAATATTATATATATACTTTTTATAATTTTTTCACGCTTCAACCGCGTGAAGATCTCTTTGTGGGCGATTGTCTTGTGTCTAACAATCTTAAAATAAGAAGGAAGTGTATAAATTGTCTTTGACACACAATTTTAAGAAATGTTGAAATTAGTAGGAAATTTAATGACTATTAAAATTATTAATTAACAAAGGCTAAAACAAGCTAAATACTAACTTCCAAGCGAAAATAAAAGCTAATCATTAAAGTAAGCTATGCAATTAATAATTATAAAAGCAATTTAACAAAGGATAACTAGCAAAAAAAAATAATAAGCTAACAATTAATAATTAGCAAAAAAACTAGTTAACAAGAAATCACAAAAAATAACAATGCAAAAAAAACAACATTTAATAACTATAGAAAACAGGCTAACAATTAATAACTAGCAAAAAAAAACTGTTACTAACTAATAAAGAATTTGTCGAAAGAAATAACTAATCCCTTAATAAATGTGCTGTACCTTTGAAGCACAGTGGTACGACAGCGAAACCGCACTTTTTAAAAAATTATTCCTAGCGGCACAAAGGTCAATCTCCGAAACCAATAATATTAAAGTATTATTTTAACTTTATTAAACATCACCAGATAGCAGCACTACACTTAGATTATATCTTCCTTTGAAAAAAATAAAAAGTTTTCAAGGCCCTTTTTCATTGCTACAAGTTTTTTTTTTTTTACTCAATAAAATACAAAAAAAGTTTGAAGTATATCACTCAGATTTGTTGTTCATGAGCTTCTTTTGACACACAAATTTTTCCCAATAAAGATTCCTCAGAAAAGTATTTAATTTTTACCTTTATATTTTTTGGTTTCAGAGTGAAGCCACTGTGCCCCTAGAACATTATATCCACCAACACGAGTCTTTATCCTTTTTCCCCCTTCCTTCACTCAGATAGTGAAGTGGGTAAAAATTTATTAGGGTTTTTTCTTCATGGGGCTTATAAATGGGGAGCAATGTGTCTCTTATCTATTTCTATTGAAAATAAAGTCTATTACTTCAAATTTCTTATCTGAAACAAGTTAATTCTGCTCATTTGAGTTCTTTTTGAATAAGCGAACAGTCGTATTTAGTTGATGCTATAATATCTATTTTCTACTATTAAAATTTTTCTGCATTTTATTTGTCTTAAAAATTAAGAATTTAAATTTTTTATTATTATTATTATTTATTTATATTGTTGATTTTCAATTAAGAAATGAGAGTTTAATTCTCTATAATAGAAAAGTTCTTTTGTTTTGAAAACTATTTCAAAATTTAAGTATTTTAGTAGTATTAAGTATTTTAGTATTATACATTTTATTTTATATTTTATTTTTATTATTATACATTTTATTTTTATTATTATATATTTCTGTACTATTTATTTTATCCTGATATTGTATAATATATATTATATTTTACTTAGAATATTTTTTGTGTTTGAAATTCATGCGTTTTATTTTTCACTAATATATATTTTATTATATACTATTTTTGTATTATATTATATTTGTTAAAGCCTTTTTTGGTCTTTAAAATTATATAAATAGTTTTAGTACTTTAAGTTTATTGTTTGATTTCTGAAAAGTGAAAATTTATTGTAAAAAAAGTTAAAAAAGATAATATTTTTTTTTCACATGAAAATGTTCTATGTGGACACTGGTTAACCACCGAAACCACCAACCCCTGTGTGGTGCAATGAATCAGAATTTTTTTTAAATGTCATTTTCCCATTCTTAGATCCTAAGCATCATAATTAGTTTCTCAATTTTAAAAAAATATGAAAATTTATGTTCGTGTGCCTCAAAGGGTTAACACAGTGTATTATAGGTAAGTAAATAACTTTTAAGCTAATTTTTTTCATTGTGTGCCGTCAAATTTCGAAATCGTTAAAAGTGTGCCGCAACAAAAAAAAGGTTGAGAATCACTGCTCTAAACCAATGATGTAAAATATTTACACCACTTGTAAATTGTTCTCGCTTCCAAACACACCAATTTTGGTGTACTTTGAATATCGAAAGTGATGCTTACAATCTAGTACGAAATAGCGTGAGTTTGTTGTTATTTTGCCAATGCTATACATCTACAGAAACAAAAGTTATCCGTTATAAATGTAAGTATGTTTTTATTTGTGTGATAAGGATAATTATATTTTAATTTTTAAATATCTGTCATTTACATCAAATGGTTTTATCATATTTAATTTCTATCCGCTTCTGCTCTGTTAAGCCTAATCTAAATTCGTATTAATACTTTCTCTGTGCTACGTGTATTTTTGCTTAACAAGATAATTATATTTCAAAAATTAGTGGGTGTATATTTCTTAAACTAACTGTATTTTAAATTATATCTTACTTTAAATTGTATCTCACTTTAAATTGTATTTTATTTTAAATTGTATCTTATTAATTTTACTGATTGCCGTGTGTATCATATCTTATTGTTAATTATAAATGTTAGTGCTTTCCGGAATACCAAAATCGAGGCAGATACTTTAAAGAACATTTTTAGTGTTTGTCTATGTCAGGAACTAACTTCTTGTGTAGTGAAACACTAGAAACCAAGAGTTATTTGTGGTGTGTAACTGCACAACTTTGGTGTAAGGTAGTTGCCACCTTCTTTGGTGTTGAGATATCCTAAAACTTTTTGAAGTGTAAATATCTTAAAAGCACGTTTTCTCCAGCTGGCTAATCTTCTTAAGAAACTATTTTAACATGATGAGTTATCATGAACCAAATAATATTTTCTATGAATTCTGAAGCAAAGATATTGTAAAATAAAGGTTGTTACAAATCGTTTTATTTTTAAAGATATTCTAAAATAAAGGTCATAACAAATCGTTTTATTTTTAAAGATTTTGTAAAATAAAGGTTATTACCTGTAGCTAATAAACTACTGGTAAAATGATGTGGGTATCCTGGAGTAGTAGTTGTTGTTCCATTAAAATGCATTTCGTGAACAGCTAAAATAAAAATTTTGTCATTAGGAGTACTACTTTAAGTTATGGTAGTAAAAACATCTATTTTGAAACTGATTGCAATTATTAGTCCAAATAGGACACAGAATTTCTGTTATTCAACTATATCTATTCATTCAAGCATCAAAATTACTTTAGTTTTTAGCCTAAAAATTTCCATTAATAGAAGGAAAAGTCATATTTCAAAGCAAGAAAAATAAAAAAATTTTACCAAGTGATTAATGACGAATTTTCGAAATTTCTAACTTAAAAAATTATTTTGATTCTTCTAAGAAGAAATTATAAATGTATTTCAAGTATTATTTAGTTAATTATCTATAATTAATGAATAATAATTCAATTTATATTCGCTTTAACCTCGTGACAATCTCCTTGGCACCCCTCTTTACTGAAAGTTTTCAACACTTACAATTAGACGTTTAAATTTATTCTTTTTTGGTTAAAAGGACAATCAATCATTAACCAGTTATAATTCCGTTGAAAATATACTTCCAACCAATTTAATTAATTTTTGAATATCTAAGGAAGCTTCCCCCCAGATATGATTGTGCAGCCATTTGCTGATAAATTACACTAATAATAAAAAAAACGGTTTTATTTACATGATTGTGGGTAACAGTAACGGTAAGCGTGGGATGAAGGAGAGCGACAAAAATTAGGATACTATTTTCTCTTGTGTGTTATACCTTCGTTCATTTGATCATTTCTCATAGAGTTTACTTGTAGTCATAAACACAGAATTTAGAAATTCCCTTATTTAAAAGCGCAGAAGTTTAAGTTCTTTATAGTAATTTAGGTTACAGTTAAATTTTTTACAATAGATAAAATTTTGAAAATTAAATTGCAATGAAATGGTAATGATTAAAAATACCTTTTGCATATGATTATAAATCCTTATATGATTATAAATACTTAATACTTCTTGATTAAAAATTTTATTCACTTCAAAAATATACAAATAGGATATATCAGTCGACATGTTTCAAGCTTTCAAAAAAAAGCGCCCATTTTCGAAACTTGACACACGTAAATCAGAAATTCACGTCAGGCAAGTCTTGAAAATGGGCGCCTGTTTTTGAACGCTTGAAACATGTCATCTGTTATTTCCTATTTGTACATTTTTGAAGCGAATGAAGTTTTCAATCATATAACATCTTAGCGCTTCAGTTTCTTGGAATTATTTATTTAATATTAAATGCTTCGCTTATGGGAATTTCTGTGGATGTTTTTCAGCGATGAAAACCAGTTTTAATGTTAAAATAATGAGCATACAATGACATTTTTTTAAAAAACTTTTGTAAAGTTTGTTGCATTTATTTAAACAGGACTATGAAAGAAGTGTCTTATAAAGTGTTTGAAAGTGTAAAACAACTGCTATTTTGATGGGGGGAAAACTTTAGTAAATTAAAAGAATTTACAGTAAGTTTAATTCCTATCTAAAAGTATCTACAAACGAATGAAATTCGGAAATATATTTGTTATTGAATATTAATCCTACTTAAGTCGAAACAATTTTTACTGATAAATGTTACTAAATTGTGACTCTGATCCAAAACAAGGAGCACACATGGCTTAATTGAACGGAATTGAAATGAATTGAATGTAGAGTTTAATGTCGTTGTCACACGGGATCAACAAGTCTATAGTTTAGACGGGATCAGCAAGTGCTATACATGGCAAACAATAGAAATAAAGGTAACTAAATTGACTAAATAGTGCTTATCGTAATATATATATATATATATATATATCGTCACTACTTACAAAATTAGTTAAAATTATATTTAACTAACTAACTAACTAACTCCCTGCCATTACAGTCCATGTTGGACCATGGCCTCACTAACAATTTTTGAAATTATATTTAAGGGATCCAATATTTCAGTTTTGCAAAACGTACATGAGGTAAAGTAAAAAAATTTCCTCCAAGGAAAAAAGAAAAATATTTTAACTTTTAATACGAAAGTTATTTACAATAAAAGACATGTTTTGAAATTCAGTAAAACAGCATTAATTTTTAAAAAACTTGCAAGCGTATTCTTTGAAAATTTAACTAAAAGTAACTGAAAAAAGAACTTGCAGATTTTAATAGAAATTTTTTTATCTAAATATCAAACAATAAAGTAAACTTTGATGCTAAAAATAGAGCTTCTAGCGTGCATTTTTATAAGGTTATATTCTGAACATTATTTTTTACTCAACTAATCTGAATTATTTATAAAAACTATTTCATAAAGAGAAACAACATTTTCATTTACTGATTGAAAACAGTTAAAAAATTATGATTTTTTAATAAAGTATTTAAGAATGTAATTAATATTAATGATATCATGGCTTTGTATAAGAATAAATTAAGAACATAAATTTTATTCAACTGCAAAATTTGTTACGAGCTATAATTTGTTATTTAAAACTTCTGTTTTTATGAAAAACAACATATCTTGAAAAATGCCATTCAAATTTTCCAGTTTAAAAAAACAAGTTTCAGAATTTTACAATGAAAAATAATTTTAACATAATAACAGAATATTTCTTTGAAATCTCACAGTAAAAATGACCATTTTTTAAAAGGCTCCATTAATTCTCGGTTTAATATGTAGTAATGAAAAATTTTATATTTTTCGGTAAAAAGAATTCCTATTTCATTAATTTCCTTCAAATTTTGATAATTAAAAATTACGTTTTTAAGAAGTTATTAAACAATTTCTACCTATTTTATTATAGTAATGGGAATTGTGAAAATGTTTTTGGAATAAATAAATACTTACGGCAATGGAATCTTGGGCAACAAAATCCTTGAATGGGTGTTGCATAACATCCATGTATCGGAGGAGGACAAGTTTGTTGAAGACATATGATATCTCCTCTAAAGCAAAAACAGAATTCACAGGGATCTTTTCGGGGAATTTGTTCTGCTGAATTATACACTGTGTTTTCATAGTAACAATCTGAAAGATACAATAGAACAAAATCTTTTTCGGAACTACTTAATAGCTGACTTCAAGATGTTCGAATCATCTAGAGAGAAGGGTGCAAATATTCCATCTTTTCGTTAAAAACAAACGATTTTGTGTTAATTTAAAATGTTTTGTAAACAAAATTTTCATTTTAATACTAATTGTTTTCCAATGTTTTCTTGACAGTAACTTTGATTGTAATTTTTTCAAGCAAATTTATAATTTTTTTCAGCAAAATAGAAATTTATATGTAAAAATATACGTTAAGAAAGTTATACATTTATAACTTAATTGGTGCATTTTAGACAGAATGATCTAACATGATTCAGTGAGAATGTTTCTTAAATTTCTAAAAGTCGAGAATTGTATATTCTTCTTCAAGATTTTAATTGTAGTTCATTTCCCTGATAGAATTAATTGAAATGTTCGTAAAAGAATATAACTCGATATTCGTTCAATATAATATCATATTCGAATTCTTTGCTAAAATGAGAATAAAATAAGCAGACGACTTAAAAAGACGCATTGAATTTTATAATTAAAAAAAAAAAACAGCAATCTATTATTAGGGAAAAAATATGTATGAACTTTCACGCATGTTATGTTTGCGTAAGTCAAGTTCCTCGCAAGTTAAACATTAACGCATTAATCAGCCCCCCCCCCCAAAAAAAAAAAAAATTATTTCGTTATTGTCACCAAATTATTTTTTTTTAAATAATTAATTTTAATTTTCCTCGGCTTCTACTAAATAAAAATAAATGAAAATTTACAATTCTCAATAGAAAGATAAGTAGATTAATATGGTAAAAATATTATGCCTCATAATTCAAAATTTTTTTGTCCGCTATTAAAATAAATAATAGAAATAATAAATAACTATTAAGAATAATTTTTTGCAGGAAATTATTTTTGAGTAAACTTATTTCATAAGGAAATGGTAAAACTTTTGGTAATTGTTGGCTTAAATTACTGGTCAATTAGTTTTAAAGATATAACCAAAAACGCAAGAAGTGAAATTAACATAAAGGGGGCCAAACATTCATTCGCTCTTCTGGCTAAACTATTAGAGCCACAATTTAAAGATTGCGGCTACCCTTCACTTACATATATATATAACTTATATATATGTATATATATAAGTTCAAAATGAAGATAAAACAAAGGAAAATTATAGACATATGAAAAAAAAGGGGGGGGGATAATAATGAAAAAAATAAAAAGTAACAAACAACTGATTTAAAAAAAAAGTATTAATTTTTTTTAAACAAACCTGAAAATAAAAGATATAATCTTTTCATCAGCCCTCACGACTATATCCGCAAAAAAGAGTGCTTTCTGATATTGTAACAATATAGCCAAAGCAGAATACACTATCTGGCCATTAATGACCGGACACCCCTCATTTCGGATACATGAGGTGCTAGCATCAAGTCAGTAGGGCGTAAGGCCGCCACGCGCCCGAATCGCAGCTTTAACCCTTCTAGGAAGGCTATCCACTAGGTGTTGGTACACGGCGGCTGGTATTGCCCGCCATTCCTCCTGTAACATGGCGAAGAGTTGAGTGGTGGTTTTGGGGCGTTGTGGTTTGGCCCTCAACTGGCGCTCCAAGTCATCCCAGAGATGCTCAATTGGATTGATGTCGGGACTTTTGGATGGCCAATCAAGCTCTTGCACCCCCATTTCCTCAAACCAGTCCGTGATGGCATGTGCTTTATGAATGGCAGCGTTATCGTGTTGAAACACAAACGGGCCATTACCGAACTGTTGCCACAGGGTGGGAAGCGCCGAATTGTCCAGGATGTTTCTATACCCTTCTGCTTTCAGGGTTCCACGCACTAACACCAAGGGTCCAAGGCCAAACCATGAGAAACAGGACCACACCATAATTCCTCCACCGCCGAACTTCACAGTGTCCGGTCATTAATGGCTAGATAGTGTATATTAATACAATAGTGTGAGGAGCACTCAAAAAATTTTTTTTACAAAAATTACAACAAATAAAATAGAACACAATAAGTAAGAATAACACTCAAAAACAGAAAATGAAATAAAATAAAAAGAAAAAACAGTATAAAACAAAATCTCTAAAGAGAGTAGCGAAATCAGATGTACTTGCATAAGCGGGAAATTTTTCAAGAATGATTTAAAAATATTTTCACAACAAGATTACCAGATTACAAAATATGAAAACATAAGCGTAAATTGAGTGTAACTAGAGGAATTTAAAGTGCCGTTCTTACTGCATTGCTGAAGTGATTTGTTATGCTGTGCATTGATTTGTTAGTTACCAAGGATGGGCCCGAAATGGATGTGCGCAAGGTAATATTATACTGGATAATTTAAAAAGTTGACCATAAATGATTTTAGAAAATAAATAAATATTTATTTAAGAAAAAATATAAAATAGAAAAGAGAAACATAAATTGCCTGTTTTGCAAATAATTTTAGCCACGGATTTGCCCGAAATGGATTTGAAAACATGGAAAAATTATATAAATTATCAAAGAAAAATTATTTTAGTAGATAATTATAACACGGATTTGCCCGAAATGGATTTGCACATGGAAAAATTAATAAAGAAATTTTTAGTAAATAATTTTACCCACGGATTTGCCCGAAATGGATTTGCACATGGAAAAATTATAAGAATTAAAAAAGAAACAGTTTTTTAGTAGATAATTTTAGCCACGGATTGGTCCGAAATGGATTTGCACATGGAAAAATCATATAAATTAGCAAAGGAAATTTTTTAGCAAAGTAAATTTTTTAGTAAATAATTTTGACCACGGATTTGCCCGAAATGGATTTGCACATGGAAAAATTATACAAATTAACAAAGAAAATGCTTAGTAAATATATACACAAAAATATACTATCAATTCAATGATTTTATATAAAATTTTATTACTTTAGTTGGGTATCCATTGTTTTTTATCAAATTTTTAAAAAATTTATCGATTTGTTTTTTGGATAAATAAATATTACTACATATTCTTTTAATTCCGTTCATTTCATTAAAAGTGGCATTTAAATAGATGCTCCTAGAACCATTAGAATTCCAAGTAATTAGTTTATTAATATTAAAATTAAAATCATTTCTTTTATCGTATAATTTAACACAGCAGATATTTTCAACTTTTATAATACCTAAATCCAAAAAATTGAAATTAATATTATCATCATGATTACGAAGCAAGATTAATTCCTTGGGGTAAATATCATTTAATAAAATAGTTAAGTCTTGAAAATTAAAGATAATTAAGTCATCAATATATCTAAAAGCAAATTTAATACTAAGAGTATAATTTTTTTCATAATAATGCAATTTCATAGTAAGTTAGCTAAGAGAGATGAATAATTAGATCCTTGTGGTATTACATCAATTTCAAGAAAAATATCCTTTTCATTGTAAAGATAATTATTAAAAAGACAAAAATTAACCAGAATTTCCCAATAATCAAAATCGCAACAAAGGATATTTTTAAAATCATAGTAATAATTCAGAAGGACATCATATAGTTTAGAAAGGGGAATATGCTATTGAAAAGATCCTGAAAATCAAAAGTCGCAATAGAATTAATTTTATTATGTTTAATGAAATCTAATATCTTTTGATTATTAGTGATAATCCAAGAGAAACCTTCTTTAGAAATATTGTTAATAATTTTATTTAAGAAATATTGTTAATAATTATATATATATACATAACTTCTTTTTTTTATTGTGGACATAGCTGTGGGGCATCATATTAACTTTCATTGTTAATAATGTTGGTAGATTACATTATTGGTTTTACATAGTATTTCATTTATTTTATACGTTACTTTAGACTTTAATTTATTAAATTTGATTAATTTTTCGATAGAGATAAAATTAGGATAAACATATTATTCTAAATGGTAATTACACTGGAAAACACTTTTTTTATTGCATTTATACAAATACTTTATCCTGCTAAATGCGGGCTTCAAATCTGTTTTGTCCCTAAAGTTACTGATTTCTTATTCTGAAATGTCTATTTTTTGTCGAAACATAAAAGTTTGAAAATTATCTGTATAACAGGGGGTAAATGTTGCGACAGGTATTTAGGCGGATTAAAATTGCATAGGAACGCATACTCGGTGTACGTGGCTTAGAATGCTTCTTTATTGTTCAGACGCACACGAAGAAACAGTTCATAACAGGGAAGTGCCCCTAGCCTCGTACAATGTTATTTCCGAGCATGGTTTCCTTTTAAATTCACTTCTAAAATAGAAGCTTGTCTATGAAAAAGTTCTTTTTTCCACTTAGTTCAAGTCTAATTCAATTGTTATATAGATAAATTAATATTTCTTAGGTTTTAACATTAATTAAAATAAACATTGTTATGAGTTTTATTCAAGACTGTATTAAGTTTAAAAAAACACTGCAAAATTCTGGTTCTAATTACGGTAAGAAGTACTGGTACCCTGAGTGCATCATTCTTAAAATTTATTTTACCGTAAAATCCCTTTTGATCGCAAAATTTTATGATGCAATTTTAGCAGTAATGTTTTTAAAATTATAGTGATTCAGCGATTTTACAGTGAATATTACTGTAAAAATTAAGGTACATCAGATTCTTTGTACCATAAAGTATCGCGGTAAAAATGGATTTTCTGGTAAAAAGTATCGACAAAGGTGCTAGTACCTTTTACCGTTATTTGATTTCACGGACTATTGATTAGTTAATCTATTGATTCATTTATCTTTTATTGTATTTGAAACAATAAATAGGAGAATCAATTTTATGACTTGTCTAAGCATGTCATTGGATCAGTGTTAGCAAAAACAACTACATAAATATATACCAAAGCAATACCATATACCAAAGATTTGGTATATGGTATATGAATAATGCTGCTCTATAAAATTATGAATATGCTCTCCTAAATATTTTATAAAATCATTAATTATGGCAGTATTTAGATCAGATTTTATTCGAGAGAAAGTCACCACCGATAGTATATACTTTCAAAATTAGTCTAATTTTTAAACATTGCTTAAAGTTTGGTCAATAATTCTTGAAGAAGAAGAGAGATCAAAACATTTGCTCATAAAAATATGAAAAATAATTATTTTAAATTAAGATGATATACTTACAACCATCTCTTTGGTGGGGGCGTTGACTATCTATGATATCTGAAAGATGTAAATTGCAAATGTTAAGAAATATTTCTAAATAGAATAACCTAGATTAGAATTAAAATTTTAACCTAACTCTTGGTTTTCATTTATGTCAAATTTTTTTTGGACATAAATGATTTTTATAAAAAGAAAGTTTTTTTTTGGTTTAGAAACTATGCAATCGAAAAGTACAATGAAAAACGTTTATTACAAAATTTTTCTCTTCTCCCATTGAGTGATCGAAAAATGCACCAATGTTATTTTTTTAAAATTTTAAATGAACGTGTTTCAATGTTTACTAATTGTCAAACGGACAAATTAGTTTGAACTTTAAAAATCATCGAAGTTGAAACGATTGTTTCAATCGCTAAAATCTCTAAAAAAATCGTTTGTTTTTTAAATACAAAATTGCTCTTTTCATGAAAACACTCAAAGAAACCATTGAATTTATATATTTTTGGCAATGATAAAACTTTAAATAAAACTGGCCGCAAACCAAGAAAAAATTCCATTTTTGTAAAAAATCTCCTAATGATTACACTAGGGAACAGATTTTTTGTTGCATTTATACAAATACTTGATCTTGCCTAATTCAGACACTATTACAAACAATGTTTATTAAACAAGAGACACTATTAAAAAATATTAAACAAAAGTTGCTCTGATAGGAATAGAATGATCTTTGAAATCACATATATTTCAAATATGTATTCCTTCTATCACATTTTGCCGTTTTGAATGACTTGATCTTTAGTAAAGGAATTACAGTAAAATTAGATATCTTTTATGAAATCGATCTTAGATTAATTTTTAAATGATGATCAATGTGCCACCATCAATGTGCTACGTATGTACTTATTTACTCATGTACTTATTTACTTAAGTTCATTCCTCATTTCATCTAAGTACATAAAGAAATACTAATTTTCTGCCCAAAATAAATAATATCTTTATTGAATTCTTTTTAGTTTTAACAATAATTTTTTACTTTCATCATAAAAATAAATTTTTGTACTGTCTAAAATGAAACTCTCTCAAAGAACTTTTTATTCAGAAAAAAAGCTTGTATGCATTCTTGGAATTAAATATTTTGCAGCAATTTTACAAGGGATGAATGGACGCTGTGAATAGAGTTTTTGGAGTCTTTCGAGTAAAAATAATAAAGTGAATCTTCCGAATGTTACATTAGAGAAACAACTATTTGAAGCAAGCTTTTAAGAAGTAACACGGTAAAATAGCGTATGAAAAACGCAATGTGTTCTAAAATGTAGTGTAAGTTTTTAAAAGTTATAGTGATGCATAAAATTTGAACGCTAGAAAAAAAGCAGCCATGTTGCGAAGTAATTTTTGTAATTAGTAAAATGAAAGAAATTTGGGAAAGGAAATGCCTAAATTTATTTTTGATGTGTAAGAAAATTCTTCGAAATATGATAAATAAAGTCTTAGGTAATTTCTCACTAAAGGAGAAAATATGAATAGTTTCGTTAAAAATACAACTGGAATATGTGCTATTAAGGAAATATGGACCACGGAATTCATGCTTTTCAATCCTAGTTAGATGAAGCAACCCATCCATTAGCCTACAAATCTTTCTAATTTATCATTTAAGAAGAAAATATGAATAGTTTCGTTAAAAATACAACTGGAGTATGTGCTATTAATAAAATGAATCATGGATTCATGTTTTTCAATCCCAGTTAGATGAAGCAACCCATCCATTAGCCCACAAATCTTTCTTCGAATGTTCGGAAACTAATTTTGTTTTCGTAAAAGCTCCTAAATCATGATTAGGTAGGATCAGCAATTATTTTTTAAAGAAAATATAAAACATACCTGGATTTGTAGTGGTTGATTGTGGCTCGTATAAAGTAGTTAATTCTTCCGTTGAATCAGGATCTGTTTCTAAAATAACATCATAAATTAGAGGTTTCGAAGTGGATTCAGATGTTGGAGGAGTAACAGTCTCCTCTGCTGTTTTTGTTATATCATCTCGCGTTTTATCAAAGTCCTCTTCATCAGCTGCTTCAGAAGATGCTTCAGTTGCTTGAGAAGAAGTTTCACTTGGCGCATCAATTTCATGGATTTCTGCTTGGACTTTCTCGGAATTAAATTGCTTCACTATATTCCATATTTCTTCAGCTGGAAAATCAGCAATTGTATTGTGATCGATATTTTCAAAACTGGTTTGAGGGGAAAAAGTAAAGTTGTTAGTCGGTTGTCGCTTATGGGAGGATATTTCGAACTTAGAAGATTGTTCAGTAGTAGTAGACATGTCATCTGAAAAGAATTGACCGCTGTATGAGGAAGCTGAGAAATCAATTGATGTCCCTTTGAGATGGACCTCTGTGTCATTCAACGTGTCTACTGTGGTTAGATTATTTGGAAGTTGCTCTACATCAAATAAGCTACCTATTTCAAAAGATTCTGGCGTAGTACTTTGGCGTTTTTCGAAAACATCTATACTGAGTTTCTGGAATGAGTTGCTTTGATGGTGCATTGCTCCGATTGGAAGTTCAGAATCAGAACTATCAAAACCTGATGATAATTTGTCAAGAGGACGATCTTTTTTTGTAATTTCTGGTTTGCTTGTTGAAATGACAGTTGATTCTGCTGGCAAAATAGATTTTGTAGAAGTTTCAAAATCCCTTATTTTGCTAGAAAAATCGTCTTTGTATACCGTTTCCGTACGAGAAGTGATATAAGACCCTGAAGTAATTATTTCTAACTCTTCATCAGAGTGTATTGCTTCTGAAATAGTGGATTCAGTGAAGATACCTGGTTTTTTGAATGAGTCACTAGTTGAAAGTTTAGGTTTTTCTTCTAACTCTTCCACTTTTTCAGTGCTTACCGTTTCGGAAACACTGGTTTCAGAGAGAAAATCTGGATTCGTAGATAACTCATGAACAGATGTTTCTGTCTGTATTTTTTCAATGTTTAACATTTCTGAAACACTGGTTTCAGAAAGAAAACCTGGATTCGTTGATAACTCATGAATAGGTGTTTCGGTTTGTATTTTTTCAGCTTTTAACGTTTCTGACACACTGGTTTCAGAGAGAAAACCTGGGTTTGTAGATAACTCAAGAGCAGGTGCTTCTGACTGTACTTTTTCAGTGTTTAACGTTTCCGAAACACTGGTTTCAGAAAGAAAACCTGGATTCGTTGATAACTCATGAATAGGTGTTTCGGTTTCTATTTTTTCAGCTTTTAACGTTTCTGACACACTGGTTTCAAAGAGAAAACCTGGGTTTGTAGATAACTCAAGAGCAGGTGTTTCTGACTGTACTTTTTCAGTGTTCAACGTTTCCGAAACACTGTTTTCAGAGAGAAAATCTGGATTCATAGATAACTCATGAACAGGTGCTTTTGTCTGTATTTTTTCAATGTTTAACGTTTCTGAAACACTGGTTTCAGAAAGAAAACCTGGATTCGTAGATAACTCATGAACAGGTGTTTCGGTCTGTATTTTTTCAGTTTTTAACGCCTCTGACTCACTGGTTTCAGAGAGAAAACCTGGGTTTGTAGATAACTCATGAGCAGGCGTTTCTGACCGTACTTTTTCAGTGCTTAACGCTTCCGAAACACTGATTTCAGAGAAAAAATCTGGTTTCGTAGATAACTCATGAACAGGTGTTTCTGACTGTACTTTTTCAGTGTTTAACGTTTCTGAAACACTGGTTTCAGAGAGAAAACCTGGATTTGTGGATAACTCATCAGCAGGTGTCTCTGACTGTACTTTTTCAGCGTTTAACGTTTCCGAAACTCTGGTTTCAAAGAGAAAATCTTGTTTCGTAGATAACTCATGAACAGGTGTTTCTGATTGTACTTTTTCAGTATTTAACGTTTCTGAAACACTGGTTTCAGAGAGAAAACCTGGATTTGTAGATAACTCATGATCAGGTGCTTCTGACTGCACTTTTTCAGTGTTTACTGTTTCTGAAACGCTGTTTTCGGAGAGAAAACCTGGATTTGTAGATAACTCAGGAACAGGTGTTTCAGTCAAAATATTTGAGGTTATTGCTGCTAACTCTTGATCCTGTTCAGAGTTCAATATTTTAATTTCGGTGGATTCTGGTAGGAAGTCTGAATTGATGAAAGAATCACTAACTGAAGTTTCTGCTGGTGGTTCGGATTGAAATTCTAACTCATGTTCTGTGGTATTCGGTATTTCCGAAACATCAGATTTATTGTAATTGTTTGTGTTTACAGTTGGTTTCATAAGAAAAATTTCTGGCAAAATTCGTTTTTCATCAATCGGTTTGGTTTTTAGTAAGCTAGTGTCCGATGACTCTAATTTCAAATCTCCTTCTAACTCAGTTAGAGCTAAAAGATTTTCAGGTACTAATTGGAGTGGTTTAACAGTACTCGTTCCTTCTTCCTTTTTAGTTGAAGTAAATTCTTTTTCCACTTTATCAGAAGTCGACATAAGACTGGTAGAAAAAGTTGTGATGTCTAATTTCACAAACTTTGTTGAATAATCAATAGCGTCATTAGATGAGAAAGTTGCTTTCTCATTTGAAGTTTGATCAGAATCTTTAAGATGAATGTACGCATCTGTCACAACAAATGTTTCACTTGTTTCTGATAGAGTTGTTTGAGTAACGTTTGAATCAGACACTGAATCATGTTTATTTGAGGTTAGTGATAAATCTTTTAAAAGATTTTCATGGGAGTATTCACTTTTTGTTGTGCCCTGAAAAGATTCTGTTTCGAAGTCATTGCTAAGTGAGGTTCTGTAATCGTTTTGAACATTATTTTTGATCTCAGTAGTAGAGATAGCTGCACCAGAATTTATTCTTTCAGTCGATTCAAAAAGAATCCCTGTTGTTCTTTCAAAAATAGAGGCTTCTGTCACAATGTTCAAAAGGGTTTTTTCTTTAAAAGTACTTTCATCTGTTGGAACAGAAGTTGTGAGATAAGTTTCTTTTGACCTTTCTGTAACTATTTCTGGTTTTGTTTTACCGTCACTGAAATCAATAAGATTGGATTGAATAGTTTCTTGAATGAACAACCCTGAATCATTTTTATCTTGTGTAACCATTTCTAAGAATGAAACAGGGAAGCCTTCATCATTATCTTCTAATTGTTGTACTATTCCTATGTGAGTATTTATTTGTGTTGTACCAGTAACCTTATTTTCAGATGTATCTTTTAAATAATCAAGTGTTGTTTTGGTATTTTCTAATTTGGGAGAATCTGTTTCTTCACTGATTGGATATTTTGAAAAATCTTGAGATGATTGGCCGGTCGTGTTGTTGTCTTGATTGGACGAATTGTCACTTTCCTCCACTTTTTTTGTGAAAAAGTTACCTGGAAAAATATTGTACCATTAAATAGTTTCAATTAACTGAAATAATAAAAAGAGCTATTATAAACAATAATGAGATATTGTCATAGCGATGTATATGTTGTAAGCATTTAAAGATCTCACAAAGAGAGAAATTCGTTAGTATTTATGAGGTTTAATGAAAGTCTCTTAAATAAGATTTCTTTTTAATTCACGAAAATTCGTTTCAATGAACATTGTTACAAGAGTGAAAAATTCAGTTTATTGTTTGGCCTAAAAGAACTATTATAGAAATTTATGAAATTTTAAATGATCTACTAATTTTTTGTTATAAATCTATTGAATAAATGTATATTTCTATGAAACCTTCGAACAATTTTTAATGATTCGAATGATAAATAGCCGATCATTCTATCAAAAGTTTTTAAAATGTTTGGGCAAATAGGTATTAAAAACTCTCTAGTTAAGACCATTTTCTACAAAAGAATGTATTTTTCTATTGAATATTTGCCTTCGAACCATTTCTGAATGGTTCACATGTTAAACGGCCGATCTTTCAATCAAAAGCTATTTAAACGTTTACGCAAAATGGGTATAAAAAACTATCCGGCTAAAAAAATTTTTCCACAATGTTTAAAGGATTCATTTTCAAACATTCATAAGTTGCAAAAATAAAATGTTCACACTGAAAGAAAAAGGAAATGATGTTGTTATTGTTGACGCATGCCTGTGTAGGCAGAGGGGGTGCGATTGTTCTTATCTTCCAGTGGCGTCATCCATGGCCAAGAATTCGACTTCTGCCACACGATACGTCACACCCGTTTATAGGGCGGACCCATTCATACATCCAATCATTCATCCACAAATCGTAATTTTGACCTGAGTCAAAGAACGATCGATCTCCAATCCAGTACCCCCAGAGGTTTTGATTTGTTATGGGAACATGGAGGACTTTTGCGACTCGACAGATTTAACGTGCATCAGTCACTTTACTACACGGGGAGTCCTCGGCCGGCGGGGTTCGAACCCACGAACTCTCGGACATGGGCCCAGCAGCCTACCGACCAGGCTATCCCGGGCAAAGGAAATGATTTTTTTTTCTTTTTACATAAATGGAGATAATAAAAAAAGCTGTAAATACATGGTTTACGAAAAATATAGACATAATATATAAAAAGAAATCATTTTAAACATGCTGTGATAGAAATTTATATTCAGTAGTGTAAAAAATTGTTTCATTTAACAAAAAGCTTTCTTTCGAATCCCATTGTAAGGAATTTTTCTAAAAGAGATAAACATATTAATTATTCGTTGTATATTCCTATTTAATGCGGTATTTTATAATTAATTCTCTTAGCGCACCGTATTTTTAGAATCCTAGCCAAAATTTATGCACATAAGTCGTCACAAATAAGCAAAGGAAAATAAAGAATATTTCTAATAATCACTGACGGTCAGTCAAATCTAGACGTTGATAACTATTTGGCAACTTAACCGGTTCTGATACTTTTTAAAAGCTATTTGATAAAGTTTTTGCTAAAAATTAAAAAGTATTTCTTAAAGCATCAACGTAAAGGTACACCGGGGTCCGTGTACGTATATATATATTTCCCAGCTAAAAATAAACTGCAGTTTTTTTTACAGAACTGAAGTAATTTTGTAGTTTTTCTAGAGTTAACTGCAGATTTTCTGTGGCGCAATCTTAACTGTAAAATCACAGCAGTTATTTTGCAGCTAATGTGAAGTAATTTATCAGTAATTCATTTCGAAAAAACTTTTAACTATTGTCTACAAAATTACTGTTGTTTAAGTGAGGTCACTTTTAAATCATAAATTTAGAAAAAACTGAAAATTTAAATCCGTGATCACTCTGCAGTAAATTTGAAGTAATTATGCAGTCATTGTTTCAGAAGTATAGTTTCTGATGAATCTGCAGAAAAACTGCAGTTACTTTGTATTGTAATAAAATTGAAAGAGTTTGATTTCTTCAATCTTGCTTTCCTGGTTGGTATATCAACTTTTTATAATGTTTATGTCTTTTTTTCCTTTCTTTTTTTTGATTATATATTAATTTCTCATAATTAGGTAAAAATTCTAAACTTATGTATTGATAACGGAAATAATGTACACTGTCTATTTTCATAAAAGTTAAAATTCATAAAATACATACTTGACTTAATTGTAATTATTTATAATTCAAAAGTGTCAAAAACTTTTAAGTGAGATTTAGACACAAATTAATTAGTTTAAAATATGCCTAAAATTAGGTATTTAAAAATTTCTGCATTTTAGTAATTTTATTACTAATTTTATTTTTATTAATTTTTATTATTTATTTCTTTTTGACTTAGGAAAACTATGTTTGCGAAAAATTGATGGTAAAAACAATATTAAAGTAAAGGCAAGTAGTTAATGTTCCTTAGTAAATTTTTTTATTCAAATTCATACTAAGCTAGGATTATTGCAGAACAAAAATTATACTTATTTTGTCTAATAAAAAAAATATTTAGTTCGGATTTTAAACAAATTTATATCGAAGGAGTTTACGAAATTGAATTTGAAAATGGATATTTAAACCAGAATTTTTAGCTTCAAACTTCTCCTTCAAAAATTTATTAATTTAACTCTGTTTCAGAAATTTGTCTTAAATAAATTTAAACAATTTAAAGCAATACACCTTTCTTATTGCTTGAAAATAAATGAAAGCTTTATACATTAAACAAATAATTTTGTTTTTTTCAAAAAGAAGTAACTCATAGTACTTTCAATTGAATCTAAATGAGCATAAGATTTATAAAACTGCTAACTTTAAAAATTCGTTTAGAGCTCCTTGCTTTTAAAAATTAAACTTAAAAGAAAAATAACGAAACATAGGGGGAAAAGATCTCAAATCTACATTCTTAGGAACTTTTCATAAAAAACGCTCTAAAGTAATAATTCATTTAATTGTTATTTTACCGTATACAATCAAAACAATTAGATAACCAGAAAATGACGCTATTCAAACTGTTAACGCTGAAAAAATTTATTAACTTTGTTTTCACCTAATATAATTAAAAATACTAAAACTTTATCCACACCAATAAGAGCCACCTCATAAAAGCTTTTAGTTCCTTGCATGAGCTAGGACACAGCGCTTTGGCCGAGAGGGTTAGTCGGTCAATCTCACAGCCGACAGGGTGGGTGTTCGAACCCCAGGATATAATATAGCGGCACAATCGCGACGAAAACTACATAAGTACTACACTCTGTAATTAGAGACTTAAATAGAGAATAAATTAAGTTAAAATTTTTTTTATCAAAAGCTTTTTTCCAAAAGGAATTTTTTTTAACAAAAACTATAGTATTTTCTATCAATCACGATAGATGGAACCACTAAACACAGAAATTTGTATATTAACATTAAGAATTTTGAAGTTGGTACTACTACAAAATTACTGCTGTTTACAAACTGCAGTAATTTTGCAGTGTTTCGACTTCAAAAATTCTGTAGCGGAATTGGCCAAAACAGTCTTCAAACTGCAGTTTTTCTGTAGATTATCTGCAGTTTATTTTTAGCTTGGTTCTGACGCTCTAATTGCAATCAAAAATATATTTTGTAATCCCTTAATTATAAAAAAACTCTAATAGTTACTAAAAAATGTCTGTTAGATTATCAGAATTATATTTGTACTAAAGTATTAAATCCATAGTTTTAAAATTTTTTCTCCAGGTTCCTATAGCCATGGTACTGTTCAGATACCGACCGCAGAACTTTCGAATCCACAGAATCACATGCACTCGGTGAGTCTTCGTGGAGTCGAGGATCGAACCCCGGATCCCCCTAGCTGGGGTGCGATTCCCTAACATCTGAGCTACCACGGCCTTCTATGTATGACGACCAAACAACACACAGTATATTAACACCTCTAGCTCAAGCCATATTTGCAAAAGAAATAACGTCAAAAAGCTTTAGATTGCAAAATAAAAACTTGGAAATACGCTTGAATACTAATTAATTTTCTTTTAAAAAGTGACACTTGCAGAATTAAAAGAATAAATCAAAAAGGTGAATTTTGAAAATAAATGCTTCAAGTTGAAATAAATTATGCTAGTAGCTTGCAAAATAGTTAAAAATTAATTGAATGTAAACAAATTACTTAGAAGGCAGACGCAACATGCAGTAAGTTAACATACAAAAACAAAGCATTTTTTAAATTAATCCCCTTTTTCCACTGACTTTCTTCGTATATTTGAAGGTTTAAAGCCGTTTTGTTGACAAAATGGCTATTTACTGTTTTTCATCCTAATCATAAACGGATTAAAATCGTCAGTTCAAATTTTCGATTTTGATATACAATTTTGCTTATAGTACGATAGCTTTACTTTTTTCTCAAATCATTTTACGATGATTTTTTGTACTTGCTCTTATTTTTTTGCAATTATTTTAGGGTTTTGAACATTGTATAAAAAAAACTGCAATTCAATATGTAATGATTCACTATTAAGGCTTCAAAGTCTTTCCAAAGGTGAAGACATTTTCATACTTAACTTCATAATTAAATGCTAGAGCCGTGGTGGATGAGATAGGACAGAGTGCTTGCCTCCCAATGAGGTGACCCAGTTTCGAATCCCAGTGATGACTGGTCGATATAAATTTTGTTCCCAGCTTGCATTTATCACAGTCCTGACATAACATATCTCTATTTGGTGCATGTGCAGATTTACTTTGTAACTTTCATAAAGAAAACTTGTTCCCATGTGGTAGAAAGCCGATGTGATTACAGATATACTTTGTAATTTTCATGAAGAAAAACAGATTGTGTGTGTTAAAAAATTGTTGCAACGGATTTTCTTGGTAACTATTACAGAAAAAACTTATAAGATATGCAGTCAAAATCTTTTGATAATAATAAAAAAGGATTTTGACTGCATATCTTTATTCATCTTTATAATTTTTATGGAGAAAATTTATTCTTGTATTGCAAATTCAGGCTACCGAATTACTTCGCAAGTTTTATGGTTTTCGCTACCATTACATCTGCCAGTTTAAAACTGTAAATTTTATGGGATTTATTATAGTGTAAATAGATAGTATGATATTTGACTGAACATTATGACATTTTGTTGTTGTTGTCGGCGGCCATTGTTCTTGCTTTTCAGTGGCTCCATTTTTGGCCAAGAATTTGACTTCTGCCACGCCCATACGTCACACCCATTTTATATGGCAGACTCATTCACACATCCATTCATCCACAAATCTTAAATTGGACCTGAACCAGAGAACGATCAATCTCAGTATCCCCAGATATATAATTTGTTTTCGGAAACATGAAGGACTTTGTGACCCGACAAATGCAACGTGCATCAGTCACCATTTACTACCCGGGTAATCTTCGGCGACAAGATTCGAATTCTCAATTTCAAAAATGTGAGTCCAGTGCCCTGCCAACCAGGCTATCCCGGCCAACGTTATGACTTACCGTCTGATAATAATGCAAGTGGCTTGTCAATCGCTGGTTTTGGTTGAATCGATTGCTCAATTACATGATCTTCATAGTAGTTGTTCAAATATTTATCTGTGGTCGTAAAATATCCTAAAAATAGAGAAGAAGAAATTGAGAACGATTGAGATTTTTAAAAAGTTATCTCATTCATAAAAACTTTATGATTTACTTTTGCTCATCTCTCAATGCTGATAACAAAAAATTCATAGATAAATTAACAGTTTGTTTGTCATGAAATATTTAAAAAGATATTCTTTTAATGCAACAATATATAAATATTAGGAAAAAACGAGTAGTTAAATGGACGACTTATTTAAAATTTTAATAATTTTTGAAAATATTTGACTACATTCTTAGGGAGTCTTTTCAGTAAAATATTTTACTTAGTATAGAACTTTAAAGTTGTGATTTTCGTTCAAAATGATTTAGAATAAAATTTCTGTGACAGTCAACCTCTCTGGCTTCAGCTACCTAATATTAGAACGCAACAATACTCTATATTTCTTCTTTTCATGCAAATTCAACTGACCGTAAAAAATCTTAAAATAAGGAATATTTTCAGAACATTATAATATTTCATATTTAGGATACTTATATATAGAGAGCAGTGTATCTAACCAGTCATTTTTTTACCGAGTTCAAAGTTCAGAGCCAAAGGCGTAAACTCATTTAAAGTTTAAATTATATAAGAGATATTAAATTAATAATCCCAAGAAACTGAAGCGAAACGATATACTTAATGATAAAAAATTTCATTTGATTCAAAAATTATGCAAATGGTAATAAAAGGCTACATGTTTTGAACTCTCAAAAATAGGCGCTCATTCTAAAGGCTCACGAAACGTGAATGAGGAAAACAAAAGAGATTTGGAACCGAAAATGGAAAATTGTGTACGAAAAACGGATAATAAAGAGTGAAAAAAAAACTAGGAACTCTGTAGTGCCCAAGAATGAAAAAACTAGAAAAACCACTGTAGTCGAGAGAGGTAAATTAGGGTGAAAAGCATTTCTACGCGTTATAGAGAGATGGTGAGAAACTCACGTGGTTAACGAGAGAATCGGCTTCATATGAATAAAATAAGATTCCAGGCATCAAGATGAGCTGATGTGACAGGGGTAGAAAGAGTGCGATAATCATCTATTGTCGCACATTGTTGAAATCTTGTGCATAAATTCAATTTCGACAATGCCAAAATTATTTTCATCCCTGTTACCTCAGATATATTTTGTTTCCCCAGAATGCTTTTTATTCATATGAATGCCGATTCTCTTGTTAACGACATGAGTTCCACACCAGATCTTCATATTGTGTGGAAATGCATTTTACCCTGTTTTGCCTCGATTGGCCACTGCGGCTTTTCCTGTTTTTTTTTTGCTTTTTTTTTATTCTTGGTTACCACAGTTTTCCTAATTTTGTTTTTCATCTTTATTTTACATTTATCGTTAACAATTTTCCGTTTTCTGTTCTAAATCTCTTTTGTTTTCTTCATTCACATCTCGCGAATTTTAAGAGTAGGCGCATATTTTTGAGTGTTCGAAACATATCGACTTTTATTATCATCTGCATATTTTTGGAAGCTAATGAAGTTTTCTTTCATTAAGAATATTAAAGTTAGTTACAATTTTTTAAAAAACACGACAAAATGCATATTTTAATATTTAAAGAAAATATAATACATTAAAAAATATTATGGACAAGGAGATTCATATTTTTGAAAATGATTTAAAAAATACCAGATATAAAATCTGCTGGATATATATTTAATATCGATTGAAAATATAAAATTCCTTAGAGCAGTTAATGTGTCTAGAAAAATTTAATTCATATTGTGACTAATAAGGAATAGAGCAAAAATATTTATCTAACTGGTTTAGTTTTGAATTCTTTTTTTATATTCAGAAAGGCTAAAACTTAGTTTCACTTAGTTTTCTCAAAGTTAGTAGTCATGTCAGAAAAGGGATTCATCATAGTTTTTTCAAACAATCATGTCACAAAAGGGATTCATTATAGTTTTTTCAAACAATCATGTCATAAAAGGGATTCATTATAAAAAGAGGTTTCAAATTATTCAGTACATATAAATGAAACTTATTTAAACCATGTTTGTTTCCAACTTCAAGGAGCATTAAAACAAGAGCTCTATTAGAAACTGTTTTGAATTGAGCTAAATCGAATAAGTCTATTAATAGTTATGAGAATCATGAAAAACATAACTTTTGATCTGCACTTCTTTAAGCATTAACCACTTTTAACCTCCTAACTAGTATTATCGAATAAGTTTAGGTTTCGTTGAAATTTAGAGTAAAACAACAGATAAGAAACAAAGCCTCATTTATAGGAATTGCAGATGAATAAATAGATATAAGTTATTTACTGTCATTTTTTATACATGTGATATCTCTTATCGACTGATTCTTTTATTTGATTTCACGTGAAAGAAAAAAAAAGGCGTACGAAATAAGACCTCATTTGTCTAAATAGCAATGGCGAACTAGTGAGTGAATATGCATCAAAACTTTTCTAGCTTTTAAATAAAACATATTAACTTTTAAACTATTTTTATCTACTTATATTTGGTTTTATTTGATTCAGCGTATACATATAAAACAATAACCAGCTTCGATATTAATGTTTCACTATCTTCATTTTTCAGTTAATTCAAAATGGTGCGACTCACCCGGACTTTAGATATTCATAGTGGGTAAATTTTTTTAAAAAAAAACCCTTCTCTTAATGATTTTTGATTTTTTTTGTCTGTCTAACCGTATTTTCAACACGGCTACACTTTCTTAGTTTCGATTCTCGCTGTCGTTGATGAATTTTAAATGCTTTAAATCAATTGATATCAAAATAATAATAATTTCATACACATTAATAGGACAAAAGGAGCCATACATGTTTACAGAAGACAGAGATGTTCTGTTATTTATCAAACGTGAATTTAAAATAAAATATTTACCAGTGTCTGAGGAATCTTTTGTTTGATCTTGAAATCTTTCATTATTAATAGATGAGTAGTCAGATGGTTGATAAGATGTTTCAACATTTGAAGTATCATGCAGCGTACTGTCTGGTTGCTTGTCCGTTGAAAAGCTGGTGGTTTCTTTGGACTCAATAGTTGTCTGTTTGTTACTGAGACCTCCTAATTTATCCTGAGATCTTTCATTATTAATAGATAAGTAGTCAGTAGATGGTTGATAAGATGTTTCTATTCTTGAAGTATCATGAGGTTTATTGTCTAGTTCTTTGTTGATAGAAAATCTGGTGGTTTCTTTGGAATCAATAGTTGTCTCTTTGTTACTGAGGAATTCTAATTCAACCTGTGATGCTTCATTATTAAAAGATAAGTAGTCAGTAGATGGTTGATAAGATGTTTCTATTTTCATAATATCATGAGACGTACTGTCTAGTTCTTTGTCGATTGAAAAACTGATGATTTCTTTGGAATCAATAATTGTCTGTTTGTTATTGAGACCTCCTAATTTATCTTGAGATCTTTCATTATTAAAAGATAAGTAGTCAGTAGATGGTTGATAAGATGTTTCCATACTTGAAGTATCATGAGGTGTACTGTCTGGTTGTTCGTCGAATGAAAATCTGGTGGTTTCTTTGGAATCAATAGTTGTTCGTTTGTTACTGAGGCCGAACTCATCCTGTGATGCTTCATTATTGAAAGATAAGTAGTCAGTAGATGGTTGATAAGAAGTTTCCATACTTGAAGTATCAGGAGTAGTACTGTCTGGTTGTTTGTCGATTGAAAATCTGGTGGTTTCTTTGGAATCAATAACTGTCTCTTTGTTACTGAAGCCATCTAATTTAGAGTGTTTTGAAGATTCACCCATCTTTGTCGAAAAAACGTCATCAGAGGCTGCAACTACTGAAGTAGAAGATTTGATTGTAAACGCTTCTTGCAGTAAATTGAACCCAGAGGATATTTTTTCAGTTGTAACTTCACTTTTAAATTTGTCGTTGGTTGAAGATACATCAAAATTAGCAACAATTTCTTTCTTATCAATGGAAAAGGCATCTGGTGACTTTTTGTGAAGGATATCTGGATAAATAATTGTATGACCGGCATTTTTTTCATAATTTTTAGTTTCGGAGCTGAGTTCTAAAGAGGGAGCTAAAGTAGATTGTTCAGTTTTTTCTTTATCAAGGAAGGCTTCATAGTTAGTGGTTTTCTTTTCCAAATTTTCCTTCAATGAAGTAACGTCTTTACTTTCATATTCGCTTTGCTTAGTATCGTCATTTTCATGCAAATGATTATCATCCGTTACAAACTTAATAGCTGTCCCGTCATTTAAACTGTTTACATTGCTAGTTGATAAAATGATCTGATCTCCATCGTTGTAAGAATGTTGAGTTGAAGTCTCAAGTAATGGCTTATATTCTGATGAGGTTTCAACATAATCATGGATAGAAACTGCTTTAGTTTTGGTTGAATTTATGTCCTGAATGTCAAATTTTATTATAGTGTCCTTCCTAATTGTTTCTTGAGAGTAATCAGTCGAATCCTTTTCTGATTTTACTACAAGGGTTGAATCTGCTAAAATAAAAATTAATAATTATGTTGGTGAAATGTTTGCTTTATTTCACAAATAAATTGAGTTTTGGGGGCAAATTAAAAAAACTGTTAAGAACCTTAGAAAAATTAAATTAACAAATTTAATTTCCACAAGTAGCCAAGCAAATGGCTGTTTCAGTCTATTTTTATTTACTTGCAGTTGTGGTTTGCTAAATTAGCATAGTAAATGGAACCAATCTCTAAAGTTTACGTGCTGTGTCTCTCCAACAAGACGCGCATTTTTAAGCCTTTTGTTTACATTACTTCAAAAGTAAATTTATGTAAGAAAAAAATTAAGAGGCATATTCCTAATGGCTGAAAGAGAGGTAAGGGTAAAGACATATTGGTCTTTTCTTCAAATCTTGCTTGTTTTTCTGGTGCAAGCTCGAATTTGCGCCAGAAGACTACCCACCAAGTTCAGTCCGCAACTATAACCCTGAACAATTGAGAATGGTCACTAGGAGCTTCAAATGGCCGAGGGGAATTGGCTACGAAATTTTCACAGACGGAAGCAGAAAGCTTGTTTTAAATACGGACACAAACGAATACGAATATAGAGTAGGTAGTGGTCTTCTGGTCAAGTATAATAACAATACTATCTTTCAACAATCTGCAAGAATTAACAATGAATCAAGTATCTACCCCGCTGAGCTTACAGCTATAAAACTAGCTATCTCTTGGGCTGTTAGTGAAAACATTAATGAATTGGTTATATACTCTGATTCAAAATCCTCGTTGCAGTCCCTCGAGAACCAAACGTCAAAAGACCCTAAAACATAAAAAATATGGTACAAAATAAAATTATCAATTCAACTGGATAAAGGCACATTTAGGGAAACTCGGCAACGAGGAGGCTGATGCACTAGCTAGGGAGGGTACTCTCCTCAGTGGGGTAGACTACCACTATTCAATCACCAGACCCCAAATCAACCACAAATTAAGGCAGGTCAGCAAAGCCCTTTGGCAGGAAAGGTGGAACAATTCAATGAATGGGAGACACACGCACGGATTTTATCCAAACATTAACGAAAGAGTTCTATCAAGCGAATTTTATGTAAACCAATTTTACACTGAACACGGAGTGTTCGGGGAATATCAAGCCAGATTTTTCCAAAAGACATCGAGCTGCAAATATTGTGGCAAAAATCAAACAATTGAACTTGATAGCTGAATGCAATAAATTCTCGACACTCCGTGGAATCCACGTTAACATAAGGGGACTCATGGAGACATGGTGTAGATCCAAACAACAAATGCAAATTATTAGAGAAATCATCAAGCGAACACTTGAAGATACAATTACACCTGATGACCCCATGGATCCCCTGTTTACTAGCTAGTAGCTGTGTCTCCCAGAATTGTCTCCGATCCTCCGATTAACTTAATTACTCATGTTCTTACTGATTTTAATTGGTATATTGATGGGATACTTAATTTTAATCTTCAATCATGATTTTAACCTTCATTCCTATTTAATCCTTGATTATTTTATCTGTTTACCTAGCTGATTTTAAGGTTTCTCATTTTAGCAGCAATGTTTTACCTTGTTCCTTTCAATTTTTGCTCTTGATTTTAACTTTTGTAGTTTGCCCTACTTCATTGTTGTATCGAAATAGATTGGATTACTAGTTTCACCTGTATCACCAATTTGTCACAAGTATTTAATCTATTTTGTTTAATTTTATCATAGCCCTTTTAGCAATGTAATAATTTTAATGTTTAATGTTCCCACTGTCTAATTGATGACTAACTGTCTGTCTGTAACACTGACTGTCTGTAGCGGGAATAAGTATTATGTGTCATTTTGCTCCATTTTTAGAGATCAGCGTTTTTAATGTTACTTTGTACCTGGCATTTATATAAAACACGGAACATCTTTTGTAGATACAAACAGATGATACATAGTGATGTAATTAACACAATACTTTTCTACAACTGTTTTGTCTTGGCTCCCTATAAGGGAATACCGTCGGCATCATGCACTATAAGACGGCCCTCCCGGAGCAAGTTTTATTTCATACTATTCTGTGTTGCCAGCTTCTGTAAATTATGTAATTTCTTTGGTTTTAATAAATGTCACGGATGGGGCTGGCCGGTCGGCTAGGTGCATGCGCCAGTGTTTCGGATGGCGATCCTCATCGGGACTGTCGAGGAGGCGAGACATCCTTCCGAATACTCAAATGAGGGTGGGGGGTTACTGCATGTCTTTTCTTCAAATCTTTATCATTCTCAAAATTTTTGAGAAATTTTAGACTAGCGAAAAAGTTATCTTGCTCGCATCTTCCTATAACATAAAAATTTAAATAGGTGATAACTAAGGCCCGGATTTTGATGACATTTGCATTTTTTTGCATTTTTGGACATTTTTTGTCTTTTAGAGCATTTTCTTAGATTTATAGGGCATTTTTCTTTAAATTTTGGGGCATATTTTGCATTTTAATGCGTTTTTTAAAGTTTTTCGTTAATTTTTTCCAATTTTTATTATTTTTTATCAATTTTCATTATTACACTGGCTTCCAAACAATGAAGAAAATCTCTAGGATATTAACAGGTGAAGCAAAATCTTTTCAAATTGAAGAAGAATTATTGTCAGTAAGTGAGACCGTCTTTTGCAAGTACGCACCTATAACATCAGTAGACGTTGAAAAAAGCTTCTGCAGGAATGAAAATTTACTTTCAGACAAGAGACGCTCGTTTACATTTCAAATTATCAAAAAACATTTAATAATCCAATGTAATTCTGATATTTAGTAATATTATGAGATGGAAGTTGTTATATCCATTAAAGTTTCTATACAAAATAAAAATATTTTGGTGTCAATATATTTTCCTTTTTTTGTTATTTTAGGATATAAAACATATTTTTCAAACTTTAATGAAAGTAGAACAAGTATTACATTGCTTTAAATTTTTTAAATGACTCATAATAATTTTAAAGAGCAAAACATTTTTTTAATTCAATATTTTTGCTTTATTTAAGGCATTTTTTGCCCTTTTTAATGGCCTTTTTTGTACTTTTTAAGGGCATTAGTTTAGATTTTTTAGGTCATCAAAATCCGGGCTCTAGTGATAACATATAGCCTATAAGATTGCATTTACGTTGGAATAATTCAATAGTTCAATCAATGATGGCATGTCTAGTTTTAATGATTACAAGAATCACTGGAAATCAGTTCTTATTGATTACAAATGATTCGCTACATTGCTAGATGAATTATATCCAGCTAGATAACGGTTTAGTTTTTGAAGCTCATAAAAAATAAAATGTTAAGAAATAAAACTCAATAATGGCTAAACATGCGTCTCCGAACACGAAACTAACGGGGGTTAGTAAAATGGATGGTGATTTTTACAGTAAAGGGCTCTTTCCTTTATCGAAACTCCTTTATCAAAACTTCCTTTATCAAAAGTCCAGGAAATAGAGGATTTTACTTGGAAAAATTGGCAGGAGTTTTTATTTTTTGTACACTTATGTTTTTTGGGGTGCTGAACAGGAATCCGAATTCCGGGAAATATGATTCTTCTAGGAAAAATTCAGTTTTTTTCATGTAATATTTTATATTTCCAGATAAGAAATTTCCGATAGCATATTTGAAAACTAGAGAAAATATCCTACCAATTTATGCATGTCCCTAGGGTAATAAATCAAAAAAACTATGATTATTGGAATAATGACTATAGCGTTATCTCTCACTACTCCAGTGGAGAAAACTAGAAGAAAAATATTTACAGATGTTTGAAATTTATGAAAAATTCTCTTGTAGGATCTAGTAATGTATAAAAAAAATTACCGCCTGAGGTGAAAACTGCACCTTCCAATAACCATAATTAATATTAAACCTTCCCTCAAATCATAATTTTTAAAGGGTCTTATCCATTTTTGATTTTTTGCTGCTCTTCCTAAATTTTTTCTTAATTTGGATTTCTAACAAAACTTAAGGCCTGTTTATACGATCCAAGTTCTTGGACGAAGATTGATTGAAATTGATGGAAACTTGTTTTGATTGAAGCTTGGATCGTGTAAACGATCATCCAAGTTCTTGGTTCAAGTCCTTGGACGATAGTGGAGCATGTTCTACTTTCCATCAAAGTTTTTCTTCCCTTAACCAATTAGCTTCCTAAGTTTTGTGACGTCAACAAGCAGGCATCAGATTAGGTTATTTTGGAGTCTGTTTTAATATGTTTTAATCCAAATAAATTAATCTGTTTGGGTCTATTTGTGTTATTATGATTTTATTTGAACTTATTTAGCAATTTTGAATTCATGTAAGTATAATTTTATAATGTTGAATATAAACAATGCGCATGCGCAGGTTTTCATCGGACCGATCAGTGACATTCAAGAACTTAGATAGTGTCGACGAATCATCCAATTTCTTGGAGAGAGAAATTCCTCCAAGTTCTCGGATTCAAGAACTTGGACCGTAAACAAGCCTTGATATGGGTATTCCCATTGTTCATCTGTTTATTCCCAGATTCTAAAAATAGGTTTTATCTCTTACCCCCCTCAAACTTTCGAATAACCATAATTTTCCAAAAAAGTTTCCAAAAGTTATGATTTTTTCTCTTTTTTAATTTGCATGCAAATCAAGGGTATAACCAGTTTTATTATAGAGTCAGTTTTTTAAACAATTTTATAATTATTATAAGCAACGAAAACGGCTCCTTCCTTTCCCCAGTGTCTCATTCCCTATAATAAAAAGTTTTAAGGACAAATGTTTTTTATTTTAAAATTAATCAAAATTTATAATACGAATTTTAACATTTAGATGCGAATGAAAAGTTTATAAGAGGCAAAAGCAGTAATCGAACAGAGTAAAAAATTGAGAAAAAAAAAAGTTTTATTTAGCATATTTAGTGCAAAGTTGATCCAATTATAGCTCAAGTTTCCTCAATGGTGATTTAAATTTGTTTTATTAGGGTCAATGTTCGCTATTTTTCAGTTCGATGAGAATGATGTAAATCAAAATTTTTATTTTTTAAGAAAAAATTCCTTCATTCAGGGTTTAAAAGAAATAAAACCAAATTATACTCAGTGAGTTACTATATTAAAATAATAAGAACTAATCATTTCTAAGCGATGGAACTTAAAACTAGATAAATTCTGTACATTGTATGCCAAGTTTATTTATATTGTAATCTTTTATTTATTACGATTTGTGTTTCGTACTGTTTTACATACTATTCCTGATTTTCAGAGAAAATAAAAGAAGTGCATAACGAAAAGATACAGGAAGAACACATTACATTTGACGATTTATTTCTCATACAAGGAATACTAGAACAGGAATGATATTTAAAATGATCATCTCATTCATCATTGATTCCTCCGTATTCGAGAAACATAGATAAGAATGAAGGAAAGATTTGAGGCATATTTATTATCTTTACTCATTGATCTGTTAGCATTATGATTTCAGCAGGAATGTCTTTGAAAACTTAGTAGTAGATTGCAACATATTAATAATAAGTTCAGGAAAAGTTACGAATATTGGGGGGGGGTCCTCCCCTCAGAGTGTAGAGTGTAGAAATACGTTTTATTATATATNATATATATAGATAGATAGATAGATAGATAGATAGATAGATATAAGTAAATCCCATAAGAGAATTTTTTATATATTTCAAACTTCAGTAAATTATTCGCCTTTAGTTTTCTTAGCTGAAGTAGTGAGAGAGACATCATTCTAATACTATAGTCATTATTTCCAAACTTATAATTCTTCGCTTTATCATCCCAAGGACATATTGTTGGTATAGAATTGGTAGGAAATTTTCTACATTCAACCATAACAAATTATACTAAAAAAACTAGATTTTTCCAGGTTTTTTTATGGAGAAGAAACAAATTCCCTGGAAAAACTTTCTGTCGCAAAATGCGGATTCATGGTCAACATCCCAAAAAACATAAGTATACAAAAAATAAAACCTCACACCAGTTTTACCACGCAACGTTCATTTTTGAGTTCATTTTTTACTCTTTTTAAGCGTTTTTAAGTTTTCAAACATATCAAAGTGCATGGTTCACAATATCAAGAATATAAATATAAGTAATATAGGCCGGTATAGCCTGGTTGGTAGTGCACTGGGCCGATGTCCAAGAGGTGGCGGGTTTGATCCCCGCCGACAGAAGACTCCCGGTGTAGTAAATGATGACTAATGCACGTTAAATCCATCGAGTCACAAAGTCATCCATGTTCCCATAAGAAATCATACTTCTGGGGGTACTGATTCAGGAGTTCCCTTGTCTTCTGAATTTGTTCAAAATTATAAGGCTACGGAGTTGAACATTAGTAGTCGTAAGCCCAAAATTGAGTCGGTTGTTCAATGACGGTTTTAAAATAAAATAAGTAATAGGAAAAGCCGTGATGGTTCAAGGGATTGAGCGTTCGCCTTCTAATGAGATGAATTGGATTCGAATCCCAGCGATAACTGGTCAATACGAATTCCGTGTCCGGCATGCATCAATCACAGTGCTGGCGTAAAATATGTTCTCAGTGGTTACCTTGTCTTCAGGCTAACAATGGGAGGTTTTCGTGGTTTTAAAGCAAAGGCGGGTTAGTTCAATCAAATAATCCTCCATGAAGGCAGATTTCTCCCAATACTTGATCCAGGAGTTCCTTTGTCTTCTGGATTGGGTTCAGAATTACGAAGCTACGGCGTTGAACATTAGTAGTCGTAAACCCGAAAATTGGGTCGGCTGTTCAACGACGGTTATAAAATTAAAATAAAATAAGTAATAGAAGTATTTTGGTGAAATAAAAGAACATAAGCTATGAAAAAAAAACATTGAATATTTTCTAACAAAATTATGCTAACACAATTCTTCAATATTCACTTTTTGAAAGATATTTAAGCATTATACAGTTATTAGTTTCTAGATTTTTGTTAAGTATCTTTATTTTTACGCAATTAACGTTAAAGGAAATTTTTTAACGTCTTCTAAATAGCTTTTCATCAATTTAAATTGCAATAAGATTATATTTTAAAGAAGACTGAGAAACGTGTAGTTTCAAATTGCTTGTTCAAAACCACAAATCGCATTATTTTATTGCTTTAAAATTTTGCGAAAACATTAATAGAAGTTCTAAAAACTATTAAGCGCTCTTTCTCCTAACTAATAAAGCGTATTTACTACCTTTTTTTAAAGGTATTGTGCTTAATAAGAATATAAGATTTTTAACTTGCACAAAAATAAATATAATTCACAAAAATAATTTTTTTAAAGTTTAATATTCTTTATTTTGCATTAGACAAAAATGTCCAGAAGTGTTCAAAAGAAAACATCCAGTGGACAAATCTGTTGTCTTTTTGAATTTAAAATGACTAGATAGTTTTTGAAAGTATTATGTTTACAAAACTTTCAATGTACGGAAATTTATTTATAAATCTTTTAATAAAAAATAATAAAAAATAATTCCTTGATTTCATGAATTCAAGGAATAATTCCTTGATTTTAATTGTTTTTTTCTGAATCATAAATATATTTTTTAATGAAGGAAAGTCAGTTATAAAGATTAAGTAAAATTTAATAAAATCGCAAAATTATTGCAAATAATCTTTTTCTTTGTTTCTTTTTGATCTCTTTATTGTATAAATTATAACTCAAACGATTTAGCACTGAATGCAACTTAAAGAAGCGTCTTTTGCAACAACTGTTTAACTCAATCACTGCCTCAGTTACAGGTTTTTTTCTTATCTTCCCTATGATTGACTTCAATAATGATTCCTCAAAATTTAATAACGGTTTTGTTTTTTCTCCCTATTGAAATGTTCATTTTTTTCATAATGTGTATGTAAGTTTCCTTCCTGACAGGATATTTTGACGAAGAATTCATCGTTGTGATTTTATTAAAAAAAATTGCTTACCTTTGTTTTCAGTGTAATCATTTTCTTCAGTTGATGAAAAAATTGGAACCTTTACAGGAGTAAAGCTGTATTCGTTAACTAATTTATCTTCATCTGAAAATAAAATAAAAAGTTTAATAATGATCGTCAGATTTTGATAGCGTTTTTATTTATTTCCCTCACTTAAATGTTCATTTTTTTTAATGTGTATGTAAGATTGCATCCTGACAGGATTCTCTGTCCGAGAATTCACCGATGAGATTTTTTTTCTAAGGTTTTGCTTACCTTTGTTTACAGTGTAATCATTTTCTTCAGTAGATGAAAAAATTGGAACCTTTACAGAAGTAAAGCTGTACTCGCTATCTAATTTATCTTCATCTGAAAATAAAAATAAAAAGTTTAATAATGATTCGTCAGATTTTAATAAAGTTTTTATTTTTTCCCTTTACTTAAATGTTCATTTTCTTTTTTCAAATGTATATGTAACAAGTTTTCTTTACCTTTGTTTTCAGTGTAATCATTTTCCTTAGTTGATGAAAAAATTGGAACTTTCACAGAAGAAAAGCTGTACTCGCTATCTAATTTATATTCATCTGAAAACAAAAAAAATAGTTTACCTGATTAACTGAATCTTATTGTTCTAAAAATTAATTGAATTATATTTTAAAAGAAGGCAATCTGTTCACGCATAATTTCTATCACACAGTTAGCACATGGGCTGGTACACATACTATTTCCCAATATAATTTTTACCGAGTTAACACTGAAGGCTAGAACTGATACAGCCAAACTAATATTTTTAACGAACTGCTAATCTGAAAGCGATTAATTAAGCTTTTCACTCCTAATATTAATTTAAGAGACTTAAAACCTGAAGATTTTTTTGAAAATATTTTTGGTTGTTTTAACTGAAAAGCAGTTTTACACATCATTTTATTTTAAAGAAATAACTTTAAGAGGCACTTTTTTCAATGCATTTTTTCATCTATACATATAAAATTACAAAAGTTAATAAAATCATTAAAAGAAATTATTTTAAACTTTTGGTAACATTATATTATATTTTATTCTCTCAATATATTAAAGTGATTGGAAAGTAATGTCTTTTTGGCGCATTAAATATTCGTTAGTCTTAAAAACCAATTAATTTTTGTTCGATCCATTTTGTTTCATTTTCGATCCGGCATTGAAATGTTGTTGCTAACGTGAGTGAATACATTATTGATTAAAAATTAAATCTTGATAACAAATATCAAATGCACCGAAACGAATTTACTTTTTGGTCCCCCTAATATATAAAATTATGAAAGTTAATAAAAAAAATTTAAGAAATAAATTCAAACTTTTGGAATCAAACTTTTTTTTCCTTCCGTACACATAAAATTAAAAATTTTTGATCTTCGCCAGTGAGGAATCTTTTTTTTCTCCGCACATCACAGAGTGTATAGAAAAGTTTATTGTGAAACAGTGATTGTTTATATGTAAAGAAAGTGGTGATATATTCTTTTAAAATTTGTTACCATATATTTAAATATTTTTCCTTTTTCTTTTAATGTTTTATGGCGTATCCCTGTCTCACAGTAGAACCTTCATATCCTAAAAGGTTTACTTTATTTTTTATATTTTTATTTTATTATATAATAACTAACTGTAATATATGCGAATGACAGATTTTATATTATTTTATAATCGTCGTTTACCAACCGACCCAATTTTGAGTTTCCGACTACCAATGTTCTATTCCTTCTCCTTCTGATGGACTCGCTCTTGCGTTACATGGAGAAAAAAGCCATGAAAACCTCCCACGGTTAGCCTGACGGCAAGGTGACTCCAACCCATGATCCGCCTACCACTGAGGATATTTTACGTGAGCACTGCAGTTGGTGTGAGTTGGGAGCAGAATTCGTATCAACCAGCCACCGATGGGATTCAAACCCGGGTCACTTTATTAGAAGGCGAACACTCTGTCCTCTAAGTCACCGCGGCTCACGAATGAAATATTTTTGAAAAATGTAGTAACAAACTATGCAGAACTTTAAATTAGAAGAAGCTTAGCCCTAGGCCATACTTTTGCAGTCCTACAAACTGAGTTAGCTTGCATACGCAATAAATTCAACATACAACGTTAGTACTGTTCTTAAGAATGAACCCGGTTCAATGAGGTGAACCGGTATCTAATCCTAGCAATGGCTGTCGATACAAATCCGGCTTGCACCGACCACAGTACTGACCTTGAAATATCCTCAGTGATCCGTGAGAGGCTCTCGTAAGAGAGGATTCCTCTCCATCTAACGCAAATGCGAGTGGTTCCATCAAGAAGTCCTCCATGAAGGCAAATTTCTCCCAATACATGATCCAGAAGTTCCCTTGTCTTCTGGATTGGGTTCAACGTTACAAGGCTACGTAGTTGAACATTTCGTAAACCCAAAAATTGGGTCGGCTATTTAACGACGGTTATAAAATAAAATATAAATAATGGTAGTACGTTAACAATGAAAATAGTAACGTTTAAAGAACAGAAGAAAACACTTGCTATGAGAACGCACCTCCATCTCAGTTGAAGGCCATGCGAAAATGAAAGTTTATGTTACTAAAAGCTGATTCGGAGAAAAAAACAATTTTGTAAGAAGAAAGGGAAAGTTTTTCCTCGGTATGGCCCATTTTCACTGCGTAATAACTCTCGGGGAGAACTAATTCATGTTAATGATTTTTCAAAACTTGGTAATCCTCGAAAGGCAACAGATGTCGATCCAATCACTATTTTTGTGAAAATGGACAGTTCTTCAGTTGGGAAGAAAGCCTTGTTAATTCCTCATCCCTTGAAAGTTTCATTTCGGATCCCTGAACAAAAAACAAATGTAGACCACTCTCCGATATTTGTTGAAATTTTTTAGCGGTGAAATTTTTGCTGAAAACAGCGTCTATAGTGCAAAATTAAGAAAATTTATTACCGGCCATTTTTAGCGTTGACCACTTTCTCAAAAATTTTAATTCTAAACAATTAAAAAACTCTTCATATTATTAATGCAATCTATTTCTTTGAAGCACTTTGCAAAATATGTTAAACACTGCAGAATTCATTTTAAAAATGAGAAATATTTTTTTCTGGCCTCACCAAATGGGTTTTTGTAAAATTTATATATTGTATTAAACGTTTTTAACTGATAAAATTTAGGGTTTAAGTTTTTGAGTCGTTCATGAAACATCAAATTTACATTTATTAAGAAACATAAAATTCATTTGTTACAAAATGACTCTCCCTTAATTGTGACCATAATAGTGAAAAGGAAAAAAATAGGACGTGGACTAAATGTTCCAGTCATGATTGTGTGAAGTGAGCTAAACTTCTGAGAACCAAAAAACAACGAAATGTTTGGCATATTACATTTTTTGTTTTATAACAGTTAAACGGTTCATCTGACACAAAAATTTAATGCACCAACATTAAAAGGCACTAAATTCTGCATTGAGTGGAATATTTAAACCCTTAAATTTAGCTGAATGGTTTAGTCAGAATCAGTATTCGCAAAATGAACCAAATTTTTCACTTTTGATAAATAAAAAAAAGGCGCTACCATCACTTTTAAACGTTTGTATCTCAAAACTGCCACTCTAAGTAAAAAACGCAACACATGAAATTTCTTTAAAATCAAATTATAATTTCAAAATGCAATATTTTTTCCTTCCTTTTTTTAAAGAAATTTTGATAATTTTAACAAGGGTGGTATGGTCGTAATGGGTATAGCCTAAGACCGCTTATAGACAACAAAAATGAAAGTCGCAGATTATTAAGATTTTTTGCGATGTCATACGCAGAAGATCTTCAAAGCTGATTAGCAGTCAATTTCGATAGTTTATCATTAAACTTCAGTTACTCTTTTTCTCTGTACAGTGAGTCAAAAAACAACTTCGTATTTTTTCTTTTGATTTAGTAGTTATGTGATCTGTATGTAGCTTTTAAAGATATAGTTATTTAATATTCAAAAATAAAACAGTAAAGAACATGCTGGTCCACATATGTATATCTTAGGACGTAAGACGAAATTTATGACATCGTAATAGTCAAGTGATATCTCATAGTATTATAAGTATTTTATTTTATATCCATTTAGTAATATTTTTATATGTATTTTAATTAACTGTTTTATATTAAGGTGCATACATTTAATAACTTTAACTTTTCCATAATTTCGAAATATCGCCTTCCCTAAGAATTAAGTATTTATTTATAACTAATATTAGATTCTTTTCAATAATTATTTTTGGTTGGTTTGCATTATTAAAATAGCTTTGAAACTGAGGTTTAATGCAACATTGCATTGTGTTTAGATAAAACTTGATTTTTTTAAAAATAATTTTTTTTTCTTTAAATAATTTTCAAATCTATCCACCTTTGTATTTTAATAGACCATCATATAACAATATGCAAGTTTGTTGCTACTTAAGGTGCAATTCAACATTTGAAATATTTAGTTAAAACCCGATTCTTTTATTCAGTTAAAACCCGAGATCCCGGTGTGTGTACCTAAAATTATTAGCTCCTGGCAGTATAATTCATATTTTGTTTATCTTGTTATGACTTAAAGCTTATGGAAGTAAAATAGAAATTCTGAGCTGCTAAAATATTTTTTTCTTCAATCCATATTTTTTGCTATATTTCTGCCATATATTTATTTATACTTCAGTAGTAAAGAGGAAAATAATAGATGTCATAGAGCGGAAAAGTTGAAAAGACACTCTTAAGTCTCCTTGTATAAGATATAACTAGCATATAAATGCTTAAAACTATTGTTTTACTTTTGACTTTTGATCCCCCATTCAAAGCATTTTTAATTTAAGCTATAAATTAACATATTCTTTTTTAATAAATATAAGCAAATATGACCTTTTAGCGTAAAATGTATCAATTTAAGAGTAAGGTACTACTAAAAGAACTTAATTTAAAGATTATTTAGATTTTAATGATTATTTCCTTTCTAAATTACCCTCAGATAATTATTTTATTTGCGAGTGAAAACCATTTTACGTTTCCCACTTTTTTTGAATAAGAGGCCAACTTACCGTAAGTGTTTGTTTCGGTTGAAATTAGATTGCAAGGTGCATGGTTAGTTGATGATGGTACCGGCAAACTTTCACCAAATGTTGCGTTGAAAACATGGATAGAAGTATCTGTCGATGACAAATTAGATTCAGTAGATGCAACTGAAGTCTCGGTGGAAGAAGGTATAGTAGATGTAACTGAATTTTCAGCAAATTTAACTGAAGGCACAGATGAAGCAGCTGAAGGTTCTGGAGTCTTGTTGAATGTATCGGCATTTAAAGGATAAACTGGAAATGTAGATGTAACTGGACTTTTCGTAAGTGGATAAGATGTTTCAGTAAGTGATGCGGATGTTTCAACTATGGATATGCCAGATATATTGGAAGTTTCGGCTAATATAAATGAAGGAAATGAAGACTCAGTAACTGCATGCTTGGTAGAAGCATCTGAACGTTTAGTAGATGACACAAGCGTTTCGGTTGATTCAGCTAAAAATATACCTGACGAAACTGAAATCTTCGTAGTTGCAACTGAATCCTCGGTATATGCATCTGGCCGCTTGGTAGAGTCATCGGAAGATTCAACAAATGCATCTGAAGATTCATAAACTGCATCTGTCGGCTCTGTAGATGTATCGGTAGACACAGTAAATGCATCTGAAGATTTATAAACTGTCACTGAAGGCTCTGTAGATGTATCGATAGACAAAGAAAATGCATCTGAAGATCTATAAATTGTAGCTGGAGGCTCTGTAGATGCATCGGTGGACACAGCAAATGCATCTGAAGCTTTATAAACCGTATCTGTTGTTTCTGTAGATGTTTTGGTTGACGCAGCAAATGCATCTGAAGATTTATAAACAGTATCTAAGGGCTCTGTAGATGCATCGGTAGGCACGGAAAATGCATCTGAAGTTTTATGAACTGTATCTGAAGACTCAGCTGATAACTCGGGAGATTGTTTCTTTAGTAAAACTGTAGTTTCAACAAAAGAGTCTTTACTGGATGTTTCGAAAAGTTCACTAGCTGTTGACTGAGTAGAAGGAGCAACAGAAGAGTGTACTTTGAACACGTATAAAGGCTCAGTATGTGGAACTGAGGGCTCAGTATCTGTAACTAACGGCTCAGTATCTGTAACTAAGGGCTCTGTTTGAATTACTGAAGGCTCAGTATGTTTAACCAAGATCGTAGTAGATACAAAAGAATCACTGAATGCTATTGAAGTTTCAGTAGTAGCTGATGAAGATTCAGTAACTTTAACAATCGGAGTTTCTGTTGTTGTTGTTAAATTATCACTAGTTGAAGAAAGATCAGTAACTGGCTCTGAAATAGGAACATGCTTAATTTCGGTGACACTTAATAAAACAGGAATAAACAACTCACAGGAATAAACAACTCAGAAATGACACACAAATTTCGATGATATAAAGAAGCTAGTGTGGCATAAAAATATTAATTTAGCATCATTTACTTTGTAAAAACTGAGGTGTATTATCTCTCAGAATTTGATATTGAACAACTCAAAAAATTGTGTGAAGGAACAATTTTTTTAAAATGTAATATCGAATCGACAATCAATACAATTTAAAGAGTGTAATTTAACTATAAACACCTGAAGTTGAAAAGCTTACACACTTATCACATGCATTCACGATTTACTGAATTGTTTTTGCTCCTGGAAACACCAGTATTGGTGTATTTTGGATGTCATCCGTAAATTGTTTACAATCCATTTCGAGTTAGCGTGATTTGGATATTGTCTTCAATGCTACTTTGCATCTACTGAACCAAAAGTTCGTTGATAAAATACGTATGCATGTTTTTAGTTGTGTAATAAGGATATTTATATTTTTTTCTCTATAAACTGTAGTAAATAATTAAATAATGTATAATTTCGATTCGCTTCTATTTTATTAAGCCTAGCTCGAATTCGTCTTAACATTCTTTCTGTGATACGCGTATGTTTTAACTACAAAGGTATTATTATTATTTATTAAGAATTTGTGTATGCATTCTAAATTAAGGATTCTTACTTTATGTTGTCTCGTAAAAATAAACCTACTGACTTTTGTGTGTATCTTATCTTAATATCAGTGTTACTAAATACCAAAAATGGTGGTAGCTACTTTACACCAATTAGTGGGAAAAAATTTTCTTAGAGTTTCACTACACTAGGAACTGTTCTTGGTTCTGCATCATATTAGTGTAAAGTAGCTGCCGCCATTTGGTGGTACTACTTTACACCAATTGGTGGAAAAAATATTCTTAGAGTTTCACTACGCAAGGAACTGTTCTTGGTTCTACATCACATTAGTGTAAAGTAGTTGCCGCCATTTTTCGTATTTCAGTACACTGACATTATTTACAATATTCAAAAATTTTTTTGCTAAGCATACGATGAAAGCTGCAAAAAATAGTTTCTAGAAATGCGGTGAAGATGAAATATCTAATATAGCTTCTTATCTAAGTGCTATTTTAATAAACCTAATTTGGGTCCTTATAAAGTGGTGGAGGTCATCTCGCCTGTGGTTGTGCGAATCCAACATACTAAACAACCTAATAACAACAGGTTGGTGCGCATTGAGGACATCAGTCATATGGAAAAAAGGCTAGGTTGTCTCAACACCGACGATGAGAATAATGAGATTTTGCAACCTGTTTCTACACAAAGTGAGGATGTTTCTTCTTACACTTACAATCCTAACAATTTGGGAGACAATGTAGTGAACAACGAATATTTTGGGGAAATGCAACTTTTACCTACGAGATATAAATTAAGACCTCGACAAAATGGTAGGGTTAGACATAATTAAGTGTTTTATGAAAATGCATAAATGCTCTTGTAAATAATTGTAAGTTAATCATGTTCTGTAATTTTTTGCTGTTTCAAAATGAATTAAGGGAATATTTGATATTGCAAATTTAAGTGCTTATTGAAATTACTTGTATTATGCTACAGAAAATTTTCTTGCCTGTTAAGGCAATGATAGCTTTCGTGGTGTCAAGACTACTCCGATATAAATCATTTTAGGCAACTTACAGTGTTGTGATTCAAGAATTTGTAATTTTTGCGTATATATTTCAAGTGATATGAATGATGATAATGTTAAAACCCAATTTTGGGGTACAAATGTGATAATGTGTTGTTTAGCGCGTATTATACTCAGGAATATTTTATGTGATTTGTGTTATTTGTATTGTTATGGTATTTATTATATATGTTTTTGTGCTAATTTTTGTCCTCACTGGTACCAATACCTTGACACTTATGGTTATAATGTAATTTAATTTGGGGGGTTGATTTTTGAGGATTTAGTTTTTTATTCACGGCTGAGCTGAATTTTGATTACATTCAGAGGAGGTTGAAAATAAAATTTCTTTGTGGTGCTTCTTGTGAAGTGAAATAAGTTTTAGCTTAGCCATTTTTTTTTTAGGTGAATTTAATTATGATGTAATTTGTAAGTTTTATATATTTAAAATTTTTTTGCTCTTTAATGTAAATTTCTTTTTGTTAAAAACAAATTTTTTTTTGGGACGGGGTTATTTGTACTGATAAAGTTCCTGTACAGTTTTTTTATTCATCTTTGTGGCAATAGGTGGCAGCATGAGACCTAAAATTTTCTACTAATGACAGTGAGAATAAACCTTTTTTCTAAACTTTTAATTTTTTAACATAAATGTAATAATTAATTTTATTGTTCAGTATTATAATTTTAACTAAGAATAAGTTTAATGTAAGCCTTTAATTTTATATATTTCACTTTTTAGTTGTAAATTTAATTTACACTTTTTGTAATTACTTATGCTGTATGGTGGCAACCAACTGGGTTAGGTGATTGAAAATGATATATGTCAGGGATGGCGAACCAATGGCACACGTGCCATTTATGGCACCCGACACAATATTTTGGGCACGCCACCGATCACATTTGTTATCACACAAATGGTATTACACTATGAAGCATATGTAACAATTAAATTAAAATTCACAAAAAACACACAGAATAATAAACAATTATTAATAAAAAAATTAACAATTAATGCTAAAAAAATCAATTAATAACCATAAAAAACAAGCTAACAATAAATAACTAGCAAAAAAAATTAACAGTCCTGCTTAAACTAACGTCTTACAACCTAATATAAGTTATTTGTCATCTAATCTGCAACAGAAGTCACACTGATGTTACTTTAAGTTGAATTACGCGTATAACTGAGACATTGCAAAAGTTTTTCTTTTCTTTTTTTTTCAATGTAAATAAAGAGTTTTGAGTTGATAGTATTTAATATTATTTTCCCAATAATCACGAAGTCAAAATTATTTGACGGCACGTCTATGACCTCATCAAACACTTCTTTAGAAAAAATGGCACGTTGGTGTATAAAGGTTCGCCACCCCTGATATATGTTGATGCATTCTGTTGGTGTTCATGTGATAAGTATGTTGGTTGAAAAATTGTTGAAAGAATGTTTAATAACCTAAGTGGTTGATATGATATAATTGAAAAATGCTCGTTAGTTGATGGCGAACGTCGTTTGCCTTTTTTGTAAGGCATATTTTTTTACATATGCAAGAAGATCCAGAATGTGTGCTCGCTTATTAAGCTGTTACCTGAGGGAACCACGCGTTGTATTTGCCACACGTGTGCTGGTGTGCTATTGGTGGTAAATATTTTATGTGGGTAACCTGTTGGCTCAAAGAATATGAATCCCTTCTGTAGAGAATTATGTGTACCCGAAAAGGTTGTGCGATGAAATATGGTATGTTACGTATGTTTATAAGGGGCATGATGTTAGCCTGTGGTAATCGATGATGTTCGTCTTTCATGTTTGATGCCAGTCCTTTCTGACAACTTTTTTCATTTTTTATTCGTAATAAATGTGCTATTTTTCTTACCTTTAAAAATGTGTTTTTAATAGTTTACATTGTCATAATAAATAGGTAAATATCCCATGCTGGAATCTAGTCAAAGTCAGAATTGAAAGGCAAAATGATAACACAACGCAAATGTATTTTAGGCTAAATCAGAAGTTTTTTCTTTTTTGGTTTAAGTATCATAACGGTACAATTTTATTTAGGCTGGGTAGAACAGCCAATTATAATTTTTATTGTTACGTGTTACAATCAGAGATCTAAGAAATTTTAAGAAAATTTTTGCTCTTTGTGAAATCAAATAAATTACTTTGTAAAAGTACATCATACCATTTTGGTTTAATTGAACTAAATGTCCAGTATGCTTTCTTTTCAATCTAGCAGCTATCTTGAATTTATTTATTTCTGGCAAAGGCTCTTGCTTTAAAAATAATTATTATGTGACCTATCTTTGTGTTATATCAAATACTATGTCCTCCCATTTGATTTTGTTTTAATCTGCTTCGCATTCGATGGATTTATCAGGTTCTTCATAAAATAGATTTGTTGTTTAAAAAGTAGCAGAAAGGTCTGACAAGTAAAATCTAAATTTATTTCCAGACATTTTAAAATATGTTAAATTATTAGAAATATAAAATGAAATAAAGTTACCTTCAGTTAATCGTTTAAAGCTAGATTTATTGCTTTAACAAAAGGTTATTACTTACCTCACAATGAGTCCTTAGCACATTTGACTAAATTATACTTACCTAAATATCTGCATATAATTTGGTCTTTATTATCTAAAATTACCTGGCATGTCATTAAAATTATTTACTTCTTATAATGTCAAAACAGTCAGCACACTATAAAAAAGTTTAGTGTATTTTAACTCCGAAAATGGTGGCCTTATACCATAGTGGTTCTTGATACTTCACAAAACCAAGAAACAGGGATAGTTCCTGATTTATGTTCTTAGTGTAATTACTTAATACTAACATTTATAATAACAGTATGTAACAGTAAAGTTATTTTTAATTTGAAATAAAAACAGTCAAAGGGGAAAATCCGGCTCTTCTGAACATAATATATATATATATATATATGGTTGGTGCGCATTGAGGACATCA